TACGACCTCATTCCATTTTGGCGATTTTCTTTTTGCATCACCCAAAATACCCACCAGATATCGCGTGTAACAACAACACAGTCATTGTTCTGTTGAGTCTGACCTGGTGCTGCGAATTCTCTTTCTTGGACTCTTGTCTTTGCCGGAAATGTCGATCTTATATTCTGCAATCATCATTACTCGATGCTTCAGTCTGGTTGTCTCGTAAAGTCGAGGGCAAAAGGATTGGGGATGAGATTTCGCTGGGATTCTCGCTTGTCATTGGGAAAAACTGCTTTACGCTACTATTTCGCACACTCTCGTCTCATGTGCTGTGACGGAGACCACCACCCCTTAAGATCTCTTGAAAGACTGTATGGTCTTGAGAACAGAGCTGTAAGCAGGCTTCTTGTTGAAGTTCTCATCCCAAAGCAATGCAGCGCCCTCGGTAGGGAAAACACCAGGGATCCAAGAGTACTTGTCCGAAACACCCTGTTGTATCAAAAGTCAGCAATCATGTATCCAACAAAGCAGCGTCAAGCCTAGCAAGCGAAGACAGAAAGAAGTGAGAAGAGTAAGGAAAAACTTACCCAGATAGTAATACCGACACAACTCTTGACGTTGATGCAAGATTGCACAACTCTGGCATAAGCATCCGCCTGAGCCTTCAGCTTAGCGGGAGTAGCGGGAGTGGTAAATCTGACGTCCAATTCGGTGTATGCGACCTCAACGCCCAAATCAGTGTACAGCTTGAGTACATTGGTTAGAGTCTTGACATCAGGGGTGACACCGCCACCAGTGGATGCAGTGGCTTCAGAGCTCAAGTGTGCCTGCAGACCCACACCGTCAATCTGAACACCGTAGCTCTGAACAAGCTTGAGAATGCGCTGGGCACCCAGGGCCTTGGCACTGCCGTACTCGAGGTTGTAATCGTTGTAGTATAGCTTTGTCTTCGACCCAGCATACTTCTCGGCAAAGCGGAAAGCAATGGGGATGAAAGCTTCACCGATGGTGTTGTAGAACACAGACTTGCGATACGTGCCATCCTCCTCCAAAGCCTCGTTGACAACATCCCAATGGGTGCACTTGTTCTTGTAACGGCCAGCGACTTTCTTGATGTGGTTCTCCATGATGGAAATCAAGGTTTTGTTGTCAAAGCCGCCTTGGCTGACCCACGCGGGGAGCTGAGAGTGCCAGACCAGAGTGTGGCAGCGCATCTCTTTGTGGTAGCGGTCGGCAAAGTCGGCTACGGCGTCTGCGCCTGCAAAGGTAAAGTTGTTGCGTTGAGGCTCGGTAGACTCCCATTTCATGGCATTCTCCGGGGTGATGGAGTTGAAGTCGGCACGAGATTGAATGATGCCTTGTTCGACGGGGTCGTCGCGGATGGTCAGGGCTGTGCCGATGTATTGGCGACCCTTGGAAGTCCAGGCTTGAGCGAGTCCTTGGTCTCTGGAGGAGGATGAGGTGGTGTAGCTGAAGGTGAGTTAGAGTTGTGTATCTCAGTAGTAGATGCGAAGGAGAACATACTCAGTGGGAGTGGCAGCACTAAGGCCGACCAGAGCCAGAGCTGCGGTGATGCTGGGAAGATGCATGATGTTCGGGGTGTTTGGATGTCTGCTCGATGTCCTGTGAAGATCTGTCGATGGAGGTCTTCCAATATACGAAGGGCAGAAGGACCCTTATGTACTCGTCCGGGATAATCTCAAAGCACTATACACCCACATTCGCACTTACTTCCTCTTCAATCTAGATTATCCGTCTACTAGCCGCGATCAAGCTGCATACCACAAGCGACATCGCCCTTCAAAAAAGATCCATCGCGATATTCCAAGCCGGGTATGCAAGAAGCAAAGGCCAGGCCTCCGCAGTCGACCCTTCTCGCTACGAACACGCATAGTGTGGGGATACACAGTTTTCCCCCTGGGGTAAATTACTTGCCCCTCACTAGTTGGGCCCTAGTGGCAGTGCTCACGGGAGGAGTCGGTATCCGTGGCGTCCATCGATATGAGGTGGAAGATGAGTCTGGTGCATTGCCAAGGGGGGTAAAGTCGTGGATATATTCTTGCCCAGAGAATGCCCAGCAAAGCCAAGCCCGTACAGGCTATAGCAAGCAATGTCTTCCAGCGGTATACCGGGCGGAAGGCTCAAAGGACCCGCCCGGTGGGAAGCTTGATGTTGGGCTCGTGAAGATATCTTGAGGGGAGCTGTATAGGCTGGAAACTGAGTGGCCGAGGTTGTGCGAGCCGCAAAGACGTTGGCAATACTCCGTACCGAGGGTCGTTTGCTAAGGTGGACACACGACGAGTCTACTCCGTTTGAGCCCACATTCTCGCCATGAGCCGATTGCTGTTTGTCGTTCAAGTCATGATTGATTCGACGTAAAGCCTAACAAGAGAGAGTGTCCTGTGTGGTTGCTGTTAGAAGAGAGGAGTTCAGCGATTGCCTGTAGATGAGGATGAGACGTCGGGGAATGTCTTGGCAGAAAGAGGCAGTCGAAGAGACTCGAGGACGTCCTCTTCCTTCTGACAAGCTGCTTCTTTCAGCAACCGCCCATATAGCGATAGACGGCTCTGCGAAGAAGTCATGAGGCGCCTGTGACCAAAGCAGTCTGGCAATATCACGATCCTCCGAAAACGACTCGACCACCGAGAGCTACCCTCAGCTGAAGTACGACTCGATCGACATTGACTCGACGATCGACAACTCTGGTCATGCTCGCAGCGATATACACCATGTAGACGCTTGTAGTCAACGCGTCTGTTTCACGATCACGCCGGCTGGTTGCGTTAGGTTCCGCGATCACGTCTCAGCGAGTTCTGCAAAGCTGGAGCAAGAGCATGGACAAGCACACGTAGATTGGCTATGAGGCGCATGCCCGGGCACGCGGTGTACATGCGACAAGTTTTTGTACTTGTTGTTCGATGTGCCTGCAGTACAACTACGCTGCTACACTCAGCCTGTCGAGGGCGACGCCTAGTCGCCCACACCCTCGGATAGCGGGACCAAACCATATACAGCTACATGGAACCAGCAATGAGAGAACATGAGTGTGAATTGTACACGTCCAGGTCCTCAAGGCTTAGGTTTTCTTCGTAGCCCGGAAAACGCCATCCTTCTCAATAGCTTCGAACACGTCCCCAGTGTGTTGGAGAACTGACTCCTTGAAACCTTCAGGCCTTAGCTTCTGGTAGAATTTACCGACATCATTGATCTCGTCCGTGTACGTGACAGAGTACGCACCACCTCCTACGACACCATCAGTCGCTCTGACACATCCCTCCAACTTCTGCTCAGTTTCTCTGGCTGGGAACCTGTCGGTTGCGAGATATAGCACTCTCTGGCCAATCTCTTCGGCCGTGAGATACATGGGCAGGAATCTTGTGAAAGGCTTTGCACCCTTCCACGCAATCTTGAACCACAATGGGTAACTTGGATCATCGAAACCTTTGTGGACAACCAAGCCGGGGTAGATGTGAGAACAAGAGATCTTGCCAGGGTGTTTCACCACCAAATCCTCGAAGAACATGGTCTTCATGGCGACCGAATGTGTACGACAGTTGGCAAATGAGTAGTGCTGGTCAAGAGATAGGTCGTCTGGAAACAAGCTGCCTTGTGCCTCCATGCCGCCTGCATAGACAGAGATAATTTTCGCGCCGGCGGGTAGAGGCGAAGAAAGCAGGTTCGGAAGAAGGTTTCTGATGAATCGCATGCGTGAGTAATAGAGCAAGGACATTGATTTGTCGAGGCCTTCTTTCGTGTCTTTCGGATCGTCAACACATAGGCAAGACTTGGAAGAGGATAAGGGATACTCACCAATTCGTCCTCCGAATTCTACTCTGCCTTGGCTTTGGATCAAGATGTCTATGCCGGGTGCTTCTAGTCCTTGCAGACTCTCTTGGATTTTGGTGCATGTTTTGTCCACGTTTCTAAGAAGACTGATATCCTCTGCTTGTACGAAACGGAATTGAGTAGCAGAGCAGGTGAGTTCACACTCGTCTATGATATTCCGAGCGGCTTCTTCATTGCGACCGACAATGATGATCCTCAAACCAGGTCCCTCATGACCATGAGTTTTGCAGAGTTCTCGAACTGTGAATTCTCCGATTCCATTGGTCGCGCCCACAAAGACGGCGGTAAGTGGTTGTGCTTTGATCAAAGCGCTGTTAGCGGCGGTGATGATTGCGAGTTTGACCATTGTGGTGAAACTACGGATGTCAAGAAAGTGCTTTCAAGGAAAAGCTTGTCAAGAAGCTTAGAAATTAGATACAGATATAAGCATTGTGATCGGGCAAAGGATGCGCCGCTGTTGCATTCCTAATTTTGATGTGTTTCGCAGTTGCAAAGGGGTGAATCCTTCGAGGTCGCTGTCATATCTACTTCAGGCCTAGATGCGGATGGATATTCCTCCGACCCTTGTCTTATGGTACTGTATCTTGACCAAGCAGAAAGCTTATTTGGACTGCCTGGATACCCCAAAGCTGTTTGCTTCCGATAGTGCGTTTGGCGAGATAAGCACCCTCTCCATGCTGCTTCAGTGCATCGATCGTTTAGAGTGCAAGCATTATGTACGATAGCTTGTTTAAAGCACGTAGAGTTCCTTACGTCGCTCATCTAGTTTGCAGGACCTTGCCTTGACCCAATTAAGCTTGGTCCTCGACAAAGACTCGTACAGGGTCATCTAGGTCCAACGAGCCAGCGTTCACTTACCTAACTATTGATGTAGAGACGCGTAGGCTAGTCAGCGAGAACGCAATCATCACTCTCTACCACGTTCCCGGAAATGCTTGATCCGAGTAGGTTCTTTTCGGTGGCTCCGATCTCCATCTAAAGACCCGTCCTTAATCGTCTATCCTTCGCGTAGGTGCCTGTCCTTCGCGGAAGCGCTTTGCTTCTTGGGACTGCACATCCAGAAAACTAGAGGATGCAAGATCACTAGTGAGTACCCAGATCCAGTTTGCTGATCTAGTCAGCTGGACCGAGTGCTACGCCGTCCGATAGAGCTGCATTAAGCTAACTGTCGGACGCGACCTCCTCCTGTTCCTTCTTAAGGCTTATTTTATCCTCGTGACTTTAAGTTCCGCCGGGATATGACTTGAGCGGGGTCTCTGTACACGTCATATGTGGGGGACGACTGCACGGTATATATGTTGACGCATTTCCTCCCCGTATCAAAACCAGGCCAGCGGCCAGGTTGAACACACTTTCTCCTCTGGTGAATCGTCTCCCTGTGGCCATTCGTATTTTTCCGGAAGCATTTTCTCACGCGGCATACTGGATATCCTGTGCTACGTCTTGACGCATATTCACTACAACCATTTACTACAACTATCATGGCAGACGGATGGAGGTCTGGAACTCAGCAGGCTCTCGAAGACAACGAAACATCACCAACGGAAATGGATCAGAATCTGCCAGACCACGTAGCCAATCCAGACCGTCAGATCATCGACGTGAAGCTTGTAAATCGCCTCCAAGGTCGCCCGTTCATGGCTTGCTGCAGACGCTGGCAGGGTACCACTGGTCAGATGCTAGCAGAGATCGCTAGAGCACTTAGACTAGGAGTCTACGAACTTTACAGCCTTGAGGTCACGGCAGAGTACGTGTATGGCTTTGTGAAGATGGAGGGGTCAAGAGGGGAGATGAGGGCTGCGCATTTGAAGAACACTCCTACTTTTCCAGAGTGTATGTAAGGTTAGGCATTTGGGCTCGGCTTTGAACGCAAAGAGCGATACCACGCGGTTTAGCATGATCGTAAAGCGTCTGAAGACATTTTGACGTAATCCAAGGGAACTGAAAAGGCAGACGGTATGATTCTTTCGAGTGGGACTGTCTTGGCGACTTCCAAAGCTGATACCTTGCAACGTGCTTGTGTACAAATCCTTAAAACTCCTACGCAATGTTAGAATGAAGAAAATCTGCATTGACAGGAAGGAAGAGCATATGTTGAAGCATTATCTGCAAGTTTGTGGTCAGATTTAAACTTGTTGTGCGGTGTAGAAAAGGTGCTGAGATAGTGCCAAAATTACGGAGTCGGTCATTTATTGTCCTCTGCTTGTTTGTATACTTCAATTACAGATCACAGCGAACACGGAAAACAGCAGGATGTTGCCATGACTTTTTTTCGTGTCATCATGTCATATCATGATCCACTCATCGCTGTGAAAGACTCGGAATGCCACTCTCGAGCAAATAGATGATCAATGTCGCTTTGGCTATCGCGCAAATCAGGTTGGTACATTTGGCTTGGAGACTAGGTCGATGGCTGAGCAATACCACACAAGACTGGTGAATTCTCATGAACGTGACTACGCGTAGTGCGAACGTAAGCATCCTTCATCACTACCACATTTCAGAAGTTGCAGGTGGAAGAGGACAGACGCGACGGAGCCGAGCAAACACTTAGCATGTAGAAGCGATCAGCGCTCATTTGGGAGGGATAAGATTGCATCAAGCGCACTCTTGAGAATAAATATCTCCTGCAGCTTCCTGACGTGAACTCGAATGCCACCTAGAACATTGGTGACTCATCAATCGAGCTTGCTGACAAAAAGGTAATGCGTCTACTTGATGGTGATTGAAGAGGAACCAGTGCTCTCGTAGCCCTCGGTGGCCATAATCTGGTAGTTGAAAGCACCAAGGTTCTATAGAGGCTGTCAGCCGGAGGACTTGGATGTGGAGTATCGTGAACAACATACCAGGCCGTGAGACTTCCAGGCGTTGATGTGGTTTTGGAAAGTGATGGTACCGCTGGTACGCTTGCTTTGGCGAACAGAGAGGTACTGGTGGAAGGTGGCGGGTCCCTGGATCGAAGGTGCGTTGGTGCGGGTGGTCTCGTAGATGTCATAGACACCACCGTCGGAAGTGACCTTGTCGTCATGTCAGCGATGAATGCAGGGTTCCAGAGGTATGGTGTTGTGTCTTACAGTGCCCAAATGGGTTCCAGCGCTGCCGGGGTTGTAGGTGCCGTAGGTCTCGATGACATAGTACTCGACAAGAGGTCCGGTGGTCCAACCGTAGAGAGCAATTAGACTGTCACCACCAGCATTGATGGATCCAGAGTAGTTGATGGTGCTGCAAAAGATTGAGAAGGTGTGCTGGCTGCCATGCGTTAAATTCAGACTCACCGAGCGGCACCAGTCTGCCAACCGATACCCGCGACAACGTCGGTGTTGGCGCTGGTCCACTTGAGGTTGTATGTGCCGGTTCCGAGAGTCAAAGTGTCGGCACCATTCTCGACGTAATTGGAGAAGTAGTAGCCACCATAGTTACCGACTTGGTTGCCAGTGATGGTCTCGCTACGCTTCTTGATGTCGCTGACAGGTGCTGCCAGAGCGAGAGCGGCGCATGCAGAAGCGAGGAAGACGGACTTGAAGGAAGGCATGATGAAGAGAGTGTTGGTCGAGTGAGTGATTGAGTGTCGCTGAATTGATGTGGTTTTCGAGTAAGGAGCCAGACGATATCTATACCTCGAGAATGCCGATCACGACATTGCAACTTCGCTAGAAGGTCCCCACCACTAGTCGAGATCCTCCCTTACAGGCTTGTGAGATGGCTAAATTACAAAATCCACGGGTGTTTGTAGTTCCCGTTCAAGGGTCCCTGCCTCGTGTTGTCTCACGGGCCGGGCCAGATTAAGCGGGTGAAGCAGTCGGACCAGCAGTATGGCAGACATCAGGTACACGGTAGACTCAAGCCTTGACAGATGCAATCAAGCAGTGACAAGCTTTGCAAAAAGCTCTGTGCTTCCAAGGTAAGTTGGTAGGCTAAAGAAAGGAGGAGAATCACTTTATACGAGGTTCGCTTGGAACTGTCGATCACGCAAGAGCCACGGCTTCGAACCGGCTTGTGAGCTGTCACCTTGTGTGCAAGGCAGTCTCGACCCGTCAGCCAAGGTATATAGATATGCTCGTTCAACTCCTGCGACGATTGTGACAAAATTCTGTTTAATCTATTTGCAGATGCATCAATCATGCTGGTATCGAGTAGACGAATGAAAGTTGGGACATGCTCCCACGAGCCAACATTCCTGGTGGTGGCTGATGTGGGGTTCAGGGCATACAGTATAGGGCTTTATGTTTCAGCTACTCGGCCGTATACTGATCGCTGTACAGCCATACTTTGATCACACCATGCCTGTCACCGGATAAATTGACTACCCTCCAACATGGCCCCGTTTCGTCTCGACCACGATTGATGTGCTTGATTGATCAGCAGACCAGACCTTTCATTCCGAACCTCCTGCATCTGAACACACGAGCAACGTGCGAAGATATATAGGTGCTCGGGCCACAAGGGGAAACCTGGACTGTCAAAGCTTTTGACCGTCATGAGCACATTTGAATCAGATCGATGGAGCTCGGCGGGCTCCAACAATCATCTCGACCCCTCTTGCGAGTTCAAGCAGCGTCTGCTCATGATACTCGTAGCTGACGAGCTCCAACCCAATCGGCAGACCATCTGCTGTGAAACCTGCGGGAACTGTGATCGCGGGCAATCGAGCCTGACTGGCCAACAGGGTATTGACCGGAAAGTCCCAGCAAGTTGGGAAGCGACCATTGGTGGAATCTTCATGTTTTGGAGGAGGAATCTGCACATCTGGGAACGCCAAAGCATCAAGATCCATCGAGGCCATCAAGCAGTCGAGCTTTCTCTTGAACTCGTCTCGATCGAGAATTTTGCGAAGATAGTCGGGATCTTGGGTAGAATCCAGTGGCCCATGAGTGATCTGGGAGGTGAAACTGAGGAAATCCTCCGCGGGTTCCTCTGGCACAATGTCGGCCACATCTTGCGGAAGGTGAGGCTTTGTGGCAAGGAAGCTGTTAATGTCGGCTCTCGAACGCTGCAGATACGTCGGGGTGAAGGTCATATAATGCTCAAGCCTGTCAAGGTGAACGTCTACAAAGGTTGTGCCTATCTGTGCTAGAGTTGAGAAGGCTTCGTTAATGACTTTGTTTACAGCTTGACAATGAGGATCCGAGTCTGGTCCGAAGAGTTGTCTCAAAACCCCAATCCTTGCTTTACGTATAGTTGCTGGTCCTTGCTCCAGAGTAGACGTATAGCTGCCTCCGCGCGGCAGACCCAATCTCCTTGCCATGGCTGCGACACCAGTAAAGCTATCCTGAGCGTCAAAACCGACCATACAATCGAAGAAGAGGGCGCAGTCTTGAACAGTACGAGCAACTGGTCCAGGTGTGTCTTGCACTTTGACGAGTGGGCAGAAGCCAGATCTGCTTACAAGGCCGGGGGTGGGTCGAAGTCCTACAAGATTGGTAAAGCTGGCAGGGCATCGGATGCTACCACCTGTATCCTCAGCTACTGCAAGAAGAGCGAAATTGGCTGCGACTGCAGCAGCAGAGCCACACGAGGAACCACCAACGTCATGGTCTAGCTTGTAAGGATTCTTGGTTGGCACCCAATCGCTCGCCGATGAGTGGCTGAACCAGGTACTTGCCCACTCGGACATGGTCGTCTTTCCAAGAACGATTGCCCCTTCGGTCTTCAGCTTGTGAACTAGAAACGCATCTTCGGTTGGCACATTGCCCTTACAAGCTCCAGATCCATACATTGTCTCCAGCCCTGCGGTGTCGGCCTGGTCCTTGATAAGTATGGGAATGCCATGGAGACGACCTTGGAAAGTTCTCGTCATGGAGTAATGTCTATCGAGCTGTCTAGCTTCAGCCAGCGCGGTCTGTGAAATGGCCAATGTTGAGTTAATTTTGGGACCAGATTTGTCGAAGCGCTGAATTCGAGCCAGGTAGGCGGCGGTAAGATCCTCGGCGGTATATCTACCAGCACGATAAGCTTCGTGAGCTTTAGCGATGGTTAGCTCTTTGACATCTTCAATTTCGCCCATGTCTTGTCATCAATTTATGCCAAAAATGAATATTCTGGAGGGTCGTGAAGAATTCGAAGGTCGACGGGTCTGGATGCTGTGGGGCTGCTGAAGATATGCTGTTGATGTGACCAGTCTCAGCTTAACAGTCACGGCTGCTGCTGGAGAGGGGACTGACCATCTCTTATCTCGGCGAGACTGCCCCTATCCCCGAATTACTCGCAGAAGACGATGCAATGATAAGGATTGCCGTATCTTTGGCGTCCAAGATTGGAGACGAGGGACTACCCCACCACGTGCCCCACCAGAGCCCCGTGTCCGACCTCCGCAAGGTCGCCTTATCTATGGCGAACATCGTGATATCTTTATCAGAACACCATTTAGCTCCAGCAGTAAGACTGGCTCATGGACATGCTGAAGCCAGCATCCGCTGTGGCTTGTATGGTCTCCGATCATTTGTCGCGGAAGCAGCAAAGTTCGATCTCTTATCTACTCTGGAATATGAAGGCTACTGCAAGCGACCATGAGATAGGGACCATATGATATATGAGTATGGTCTCGGGCGACTCACACGTCAAAGTCGGAGCGATCATTCGAATGCTGCCTCACCATCATGGAGCCACTGCGTCTCCGCTTTTTCTCGAAGATCAACCACATCAAGGCGTCGTCGAAGGCAAAGTTACATCGCGAAGGATGGGCGCTTCCGAAGCAGACCACTTCTTTCGCACCCGAGGGCACCTGGACTAACGTTGATCTCGACGTGACACCGCTCGAGCGACGTATCTGGACGCCCTTGTCCTTCCTTGGCTACTGGGTTAGCGACGTGGTAAGCGGACTGCCATAATCACACCTACTGGCAGCTGACCCAGTGTTCCCAGCTAAGTGCTCAATCATGGCAGATCGGAGCTTCCATACTTGCGATCGGTTTGACCTATCGTGAGGCGATCTATTGCATCATAATTGGTTCATCTGTCATGGCAGGTGCTATCGCTCTCAATGGAGCACCTGGCGCCTATCTGAGAGTCCCGTTCCCTGTCTGGAGTCGATCCGCTTTTGGATACCACGGTGCGAAGCTCCCAGTCATATGTCGTATGATTACAGCGCTGTTTTGGCATTCTATCCAGACATACACTGGATCTTTAGCAATGACTGTCATGCTTACTGCGGTCTGGCCAAGCTTCGCTCATATGCCCAATCATCTGCCAGAAAATGCAGGCATCACAAGCTCTGGTTTGCTGAGTCACCTGCTGTTCTGGTCACTCCAACTACCCTTCTTACTGATCAGACCTCATAAGCTGAAGTGGTTTTTTGTTGTCAAAGCATTCATCACCATTACCGCTGCTGTCGGGACGACTATCGCAGTCTGTGTGATGGCGGGTGGGTCTGGGACCATTTGGGATCAACTGCCGCAGGTCCAGGGGTCAACTCGTGTCTGGCTTATCATTGCCACACTGACAGCCCAGACTGGAAGCTGGTCAGTCAAAAGTAGTACTTGCGCTAGTGTGTGTTCTGACGTTTCGCAGGTCGACAGTCGGAACCAACATTTCGGACTTTACTCGATACGCAAAGAAGCCTCGTAGCATCTACTATCAGGCTTTGCTTTTTCCAACTATATGCTTTGGCATAGCTATGCTTGGCGTCATCAGTGCATCTGCATCGAAACCGTTGTACGGCGAGTACGTCTGGGATCCTCTGACCCTTGCATCGAAGTGGACCTCCCCAGCTGGAAGACTCGGTGCATTCTACTGTGGACTTGCCTGGTGCATCGCACAAATCGGTGTCAATGTCTCGGCGAATGTCATCTCGGTCTCGAACGACTTGACTAGCTTGTTTCCAAGATATATCAATCTGCGCAGAGCTGCTTTGCTGACCACAGTTGTCGGTGGTTGGGGAATGGTGCCTTGGAAAATCATCACTGGTGCTGCGAGCTTGATTGACTTCATGGCCAGTCTGGGTATCTTCTTGGCCCCGATCATTGGTATCTCCATTGCAGACTATTGGGTGGTAAAGAGGCGTCGCATCGAGATTGCCGCATTGTATCGCCCTGGAGGGAGATATCGCTATCATGCAGGTATCAACTGGAGAGCCATGTTGGCAATGTTGTGCAGTGTTGGACCGACCATGCCTAGATTGGTGAAGAACATATCGCCATCCTTGGACATCGGCGGTGCACAATACATCAACGACCTGGTTTGGTACTATGGCTTTGTGGTCTCTTTCTCAGTCTACATCGTGGTCTCTCTGATATGGCCGGCGGAGGACACTTTGGTTGCCAAGTATCTGCTATCTGAAGATGCGGAGCTGGAGGTTCAGGTGGTTGAGGAGTTCCCTGTCAAGATGGAGAAGGACTAGATCGAACACAGTGATCTCTTTCCATCCCATCGAAGTTCTAGAACGAGATGGATTTCCTATCCTATAACGCGAAGTCCTCACACTCACGTAAGCCCACTCCAAGGTCCATCAACTCCTTCTCCACATCTTCCTTGATTTGTAGATACGACTTGCCTGTCGAAGCATTGTCATATGTCGAATGAGCGCCTCGGAGAAGGGTGATGTTCACAGCCTCAAATCCATACGCAATCGCTCCCAGAATCGACGCTCGTACGCAAAAGTCTGTCTGCAAGCCCACAAAAGCAAGATGCTTGACACCTTGCGAATGAAGCGAGGTGGCGAGATCTGAATTCGACTCGAACATATTGCCCAATGGACTTTCAGTCATTGTGATAACAGATACCGCCTGGTCGATACGTACCGACGTCTTTTGGAAATCAACCTCTCGGTCTCAACGCCCTGTCGTGGGGGAAACATCAGATTCCAAGTCGGTTTTCCGCGATACAAAGGGTCTTCTGTTTTTGTCGTCATGTTGTATGAACAGGATCTCGATCGCTTCCTCGCGATGCTTGTTGGTGTCATTGTGTTGGCGAGCGAGGCGTAGGATGCAGCTAATGGCATGATTGATTCTGTCGGCGTCGGGAACACCGCTGGTAAGGTCGGCGATCCCTTCTTGTACATTAACGACGCCTAGTGCTGATTTGGAGGCTATGCTGGTGTTCGCTGTCATGGATGAATGTCGACAAGGGGTTGTCCTGGTTTGATCACCAACGATGAGTCATCACCGTGTTCGTGGTTTGGCGAGCCAAGCTTTCAGCACAGCGACACTTTTGAGGTCGCGTTTTTGGATCCTGATCGCGATGTTGACGACTGTTGATTATGTGGATCTCGTATAGGTCAGAGCAGGCCAATCTTGATCTCCCGTTTGTGACTCTGGCAGCGCAAGACTAGGCTGTGGCAAAGTTCAAAGCACCGCTCTTGGCCCTCAACTTCTTTCCACAAAGCTGTAGAGCGATGATAATCACAAAGGCTCCGACACAAATTCCGGCTTGAGTGCCAAAGCTAACTTTGGTACCACTTGACTGTGCCCAGGTGACCTGGAAATAGCTGATAATGAACCCACCGGTCGCTAAGACAAGTCAGCTTCTAGTCTATGTGTAGTGAGCAAAATGAGCGACTTACTCCTAGCCATGTTGATCAAAGCAGAGACCTCTCCAGAAGCTTCAGGGTAGCTATCGAGATTGTATGCGACGAGGGCGACCGTAGTAATCATGATACCAAACACATATAGACCCCAGAATAGGGATGTCAGCATGTAATGATATGCATCCTCGAGCGCAAAGCCGAGTCCGACGAGTCCAGCGATCATGAACGGCGTGCTGAGCCAGATGATACGCAGTCTGACTTCAGGCTCGAAGTGACCATTGTGTTTCTTGATATATCGCTTTGCAACGCCGTCATGAAGCCAATGTCCACAGAGTTCGCCAAGAATGGCGGCAACGATAGGTGTAAAGTAGAAGAATCCGATTTGTTTTGGCCCAAAGTTGTACAGAGGGGTCAAGAATATCGCGAGGGTTGTGTTGATGCCGACTACCCAGGCGAATGTGAGGCAATAGTAGATAATGGAGAGAAGGACAGTAGGTTTGATGAGGACGCGGATCATGCGCATGCAGGCTTGCCCAAGTGTATTGCGAAGGTGACGAGATTGGTATTGAGATATGCCGATGAGTTGTTCGAGTTGGCTGCCTCTGCTTGGTTGATCGGCAGGATCGATAGAGCGGTCGTAGTACGTCTCTTTCACGAAGAAAATCGTCAAGATCAGGACAAGAGCATTCTGTCCAAGTCAGCTTTTGATTGTGGTGACCAGCATTGCAGCCTCAGTGACTGACCATAGCAAAGAAGACCCAAAAGGCGATTGGCCATTTGAGCGTTGTGATGATGAAAGCGGTCAGCATAGGTCCCATGTAGGGCGACAAGATGATAGAAGCCGCCCAGATGTTGATCTTGCGAGCTCTCTCGTGGAAGAAGAACATATCGAAGATGAACATCAGGCCACCCCCTTGAGCCACGGTGCTGAAGAAACCGTTGAGGATTCGAGCTGCCATGAATGACTCGAAAGTAGTCGCAGCAGCACACCAAGCCGCGGTGGCGGTCGAGAGAACCAGGAAGTAGAACAAGATTGGGAGACAACCTGCCCATGCTGAAAGGATGACAGCAACCACACCACCAGCACCAAGCATAAAGACATTGCCGACTTGAGAATGGTTGACTGTATCCGGAGATATCTTCCACTGACTGTAAGCATGTTAGTCTCCGACGGCACCTAGGTAGAACACATCTTAGACCACTTACGCTGCTTGAGGTAGGAGGGTTACAGCTCCCGTAGCACTCCCATAGTCTGGAGGAACGCAGCAAGACTAACGACGATCAGAACGATGTGTTTCCTGGTTTGGCTCCAGTTCAAGGTGTCTTGAGACGAATTGGAAGGTTGTGGAATCAAGATCGTGTGTCCGTCTCTGGCTGTCTTCAAGTCGCCCCTCGCAGCGCCCCCAAGGTCAGCAACAAAGCCCTCAATTCCTTGAACCCATGCGCATCAGCAACGTTCTCCACTGTCAACGTTTGTGCCTTGTCGTGCTGCATGATGAAGTCTAGAAGTGCAGCTGTCTTCGATACGACCTGCTTGCATTGAGTGGCTATCTAATGTTGTCCGACCATAGGACCCCCTTTATCGGATTTCAAGTGCGGGGTCGTCGGAAATGCAAAGTGCTTCCAGCCGCACCTTCCGAGGTGAACTTCCGATTTTCCGATCAAGCTACACGTATGCGAACTATAGCTATCGCTTTTCTGTCGACATCTTAGCCAAGGTGGCATCTGAGATCCTGCTTGCTAGTTCTGCTCGTACAGACCACAGCTTTACTGTGGCTTCTGGCGCGAACAGGGCCCAATTCGTGCATCTGCTCAACCCTCATGAAGCAGATTGGCAAGACATCATACCGCATGTCCAGCGATCATTGAACCAAAAGTTAGAAGTCGTTCCTTATGAGGAATGGCTCTCCAATCTGTAAACTTCTGCTAAACGTAGTCACGATGACGCCAATCCAGCTTTGAAACCAGTTGACTTCTTCGAGCAAAACAGACACGACTTGAGCCCAAAGTTCTCGACGAAGGAACGCCCAAAGGATGAGCCAGACATTGAGAAGCCTTAAACCTGTCAATGGCGATTGGATGCATCTATGGATGGAGCAGTGGGGATCGAGCGGAGCTAGAAAGGCAATGCTGTGAGATGATTGGCATACTCTCCCGCTCCTACATGAGGGAATGGTGTTGTCCAACCACGACTTTAATCAATCTCAAGTGCGGGGTCACCAGTAACATAAAGACCTGCCACAGCCATCTCCGAAGTGAGGTCCCTCCATTATGGTCGCATCCATGCCCTAGCGATCTCGCTACATACCTCTTGCAAAACACATTATGGCTACACAAAGTGAGCACTACACATTTATCAGCTCCAAGTTCCATACAAATCTGTCTCCTCTCGATCAAATAGCTGTATATAACTGGTCGCCCCGGATTCTCATATTCCCTCTCTCTTCGTCTGCTGATCGTCAAGTTATCACGACTGTCCTGCACGCAGGCATGCAAGCCACGATAGATACATTTCCCGACCTGGCTGGCTCTTGCACACGGCCGCCTCAATCCCGCTCAGGTGATACACAGGGCGGCACGCGATACCACAACAAGGGCGAGGCCCATCTAAGCATTACAGACGTCTCAGATAGATATAGCCTTGACACTCTACGTGCAAACAACTTCGATCAAAAGCTTCTGCTGCCCCAGGATCTTTGCCCGACACCCGCCTTTGCCCATCCAGCTATTCAGCCGCTGGAGCTCTTCAGCGTTCAGGCAAATTTTATTCAAGGCGGCCTCTTACTGGTCGTCTGCATCTACCACAGCATTTGTGATGGCGTTGGCCAGTTCCACGTCACCGAGATGCTCGCAAATCAGTGTCGTCTCGCGTCAACAGAAGACAACAAGACCAGACTTACTTTCAGACCCGATCAATTCGATCGCACCATGCTGTTTGGAGGCGCGCCTCAGGCAGACATCAGCAAGCTCTCTGCCTACACCATCCTCCCTGAGCCCGCGCGCGGTATGCCTGCTTGGGCCTCACCCGAACATCGCAAGCTCGCAAGCGAAACATTCTGTCTGACTAAGGAGACTCTGATCCAGCTCAAGGCCGACGCCACCAGCCAGAAGCCTGCCAGTTCCAAGGAGCCCTATATCTCCACCCACGATGCAGTGTGCGCATTGATTTGGCGAACTACTATGGCCGCTCGTGTGGCAGCAGGCGTGATCAGCAAACACGACGAGACAACTTTCGGAATGCCCGTCGATGGCCGGTCGCAATTAGAGCCGCCGCAGACCCCTGACTTCTTGGGCAACAATGCGATTGGATTCAAGATCGTAGATACTGTCGAGAGGTTGACCGCACCACATAGCCTTGGAGTCGCGGCGTTTGCCATCCGAACAGGCGTCAAAAGCGTTGACAATTCATACATCAAGAACCTGATCACGGTGCTGAACCAGGTGCCCGATTACGGCCAAATCTTCCTCGACATGCTAGAAAACATCAAGACGACAGGATTGTTCCTGACGTCGTGGGCAAAATTCTCTTATGCAGATCTGGACTTTGGAGCAAAGTTTGGAAAATGCGAGATGTTTAGATTTCCTGCTGGGGGCTATATGAATGGTATCGCGGTTGTGTTTCCGCCGTTGAAGAACGGCGGCTGGGAGGTCATGCTGACATTGGAAGAGAAGTGTATGGAAACTTTCAAGAAAAATTCAGTGTGGAAGCAGTATTCGCAGATAGAACAGCTAAGGACTTAGTGAACTTGGAACTTGATGAAGAAGCCTTCTCTTTTGGAATTCAAGAGAACTCAAAGACGCGATGGAAGCGTGACAGAGCTAAGCTTCGACATGATGGCTTGAAATGACATCGAAATACATTATGCTAGTATTATTGGACTGGATATAAACCTGACATTAAGCAAGCAACCTCTTCTCGCTAACACTGACCAGCAGTGTCGATCTTGTAAGAACCCTTGCCGGGGGTCGTATCGAAAGTAATCTGCATTCCTGGACAGATGACGGGTTGCATGTATGAAAATTCCATGGATTGCCCCACTGAAGTCGTGTTAGTGGAAATCATCAGACACGCACGTCGGGAATGAACTTACAGTCGTTGTTCTGCACTCCAACAACAGCAGAGCGACCACGATCGCTGACGTCGAGATTTTGGTACGTGACAGAATTGAGCTTATCCTCGGCGAATTTAATGAGGAAGTGATAGTAAGACGAACAGTCGGTGATATGACTGATGTAAAACTCAAACGTGGTCTGTCGACTTGGTGCAGTCCCACTGACTTGGTAATAGATGCCTTGCTGTGTGTCCCTGTAGATGTAGAGATCTGTCCAAAGACCCAGGACAGTGGATCCATAGAATCGGGGATAGGGAATATACGCGTATCCAAGACTTCCATCGATTGTGTTCAGACCAAGCACTGCATCAGAGTTGACCATGATGTTGGCACTGGGTTGGCCATATAGAGTGAGTGCTACAGGTAATGACACAGCATACACCTCGTCGTCCATATCTCTTGGTGCACCATTGACATCACCGGCGATTGCGGTCGGATGTGCAAGAGCAACGGCGGGAATGTCAGATGCAGCAGTCGTAGGAACACGAATCGGGCTATATGTGGTGAGCTCGGTGATGTGCTGTGTCATTGTAGCGAATGAGTCCGACGAGATGGTGTAGGCAGCGGTACGAATCCTTGTGACAGTTTGCTCAGAGACTTTAGTCGACACGGTCGAGGTAAGATTAAGGCGAAGAGTAGATGTCTGTGTCAAAGTCGTCAATGAAGTGATCAGATTAGTAGCCGTGGTCTCCGCGTCGAAGCTGCTCCTCTCAGTTGTGGTTTGAGTTTGAGTTGCTGTTGAGCTGAAGACAGTGGTGGAATCTGTTGGGTTCTGAGTTGCTGGAACAAACACCGAGAACCACCCGTTGGCGGAACCTCATGGGCTTCGGTCATATCGATGCTGCATCCTTCCACTCGAGTCTCGCGAGACAACGTTCAAGACTTCTACTGAGGGTGCACCGGTGAAAAACTACAGGCCGCGACACGGCGATGGTGGTTGATCGTTTTACAACGACACTCAAAACTGCTCGGCCATATATGTCTGGTTCAATAGCCCTGCAGGATTGTTGACAATCTGGCTGTTGGGCAGGCGCACGCGACCAAGTCCCGAAAGCTTCTCGAATCGCCAAGGTCCTCAGAAACCAGAGCACATGTGTGAAGTCTGGAGAGAGGAGCCGTTGCGACAAACCACTGTTCGCCCTCCCGCGAGACAACCAAAGCTAGACCATAGGCATGTGTCGCATATATGCCTGAGCGTTTCACTGGACCCGCAGCTTCTGTACCAGCGCAAAGCAGTCTAGTCTGTGATCTATTTTCGAATTTCTCACGTGAATCTTCGGCCTGTGTTTCCGCTCTTTCACTACAGCATGTCTCTTCATGCAAGAGACTCTGAACATTCTAGGAGTACTACGTATGGTTATCTCTACGTCATCCATACATGACTTTGACGAGATACAAAGCTCCGGCAATTGAAGAGCTTGATAGGTGGTTACGCGAACGTGATGACTTCTAAAAATGCTTGGTATGGCGTCAACAAACCGCAGACGAGGCTTGGTGTTCTTCAGCTCATTGGACGCACATCTCTTTGATACTGCCACACTATACAGCTGACGATCAAGCCGTGGATCTACCGGCCGCTCAAGAGTCACGGCCAATCAAGTGCGCCCTTGATCAATTCCAGCGTTGCCAGGCAGAATCTCCGGCATCTGTCATTGAGCCCAACTTTGAAGATGGAGACCGGCAAAAGCTAGTTTCCCTCTGTCGACATGATCTACCCAAGGTAGTTCTTGAGAATCTTCGAGAATGCGGTATAGTCGGCAACGGCACCGAAACTGACGGCGACTGTATCAGCAAAGCCTAACCCGGTCATGAAGGTCCACTTACCCATAACACCGTATGAGTCGCGAAAGCTGCAAGCCTAGCCCGCGAAATCTGGCCTCATCGCAGGTCTGGAAGCCAGAATGACTTTTGATTTGCTGCCACATTTGGACAGGTGTAACTTCCTGCCAGGGAGTCCGGTCCGGGCTCAGAGCCAGCAGACTGTTCAATTCTGTCTGCGGCACGCGCCAATTCGAGTATGGCTCATCTGTGAGACTATCGTTCTTGTGGGCCAGCAGATGGTATTGGAGCTGGAAGCTGTGGTTACAGGGCTCAAAGTAGTCGGGCGAGATCGAGGTGATATGCTCAAAGCATGGTTGTTCGAGCCTGCAAAACACGATCAGCGAATTTCCCACTCCAGTCACTTGAGGAAGTCTGCGCACGCGAGAACGAAGTTGACTCCGAGCTGCGTGAGTTCAGTCTCGCTGATAAGCGGACCTTTGATCAGAGGAGAAGTGCACCCGAGAGGCATCTCCTGGATACCAGAGGCCCCGAATAGCGCCGATTCTTCGAGTTGAACGTTCAGTCTCTGATTGCCATGCGACCTGTTCAAGATCTGGACCCATGCTTTTGAGTCTTCCTGGGGCGATGGCTCGGATGAGGATGTGCACGGTGCAGCTCCCAAGCGCTTGAGTTCGGCCTCCATGCACGCAGCTCTTTTTTCGAGGTTTGCAAAGTCTGCTTGTAGCTGCGTGAACTTGGCTTCGAGAGCGACCACGTAATGCTCCTTCTTGTTCCGATGTTTCCTGGAACATCGTTAAAGTTATACAAAGAACAATCGAGTCTTTGGTTGATACTTCTGAGCGGCCCGGACCTGGTTCCTTCTTCTCTGATACTTGGCTTCCTTAAGAGACAGTTCTGTCTCGGCGACTTTTGTTTCAAGACCTTGACACCATCGTCACTGCTGTTCGATGAAGCCGATACTACTTCCAAGATTCCCCGGACTTACCATTTTTCCCAAAAGGACTGTTCAGAAACTGCTTGGCGTTGCTCCATACAAAAAATCGGTGGTCGATCGACATGGTGTTCGTTTCTTAATCTCTTCTTGGGGGAAGAAGTCGAGGGACAGTGCTTTCGGTAATCGGGTTTGCGGTCTTAATCAGTCAACTCAGAGCCCAACATGAATAATACTTATCCAGAAACTGATGTTACTCACTTCGACATGCAGGGCGGGGGCTTGTACGGGGTCCAGGTGTGGGGTACGTGATAGCCGATTTCGAGAAGGATTTGGTGGACGCGTCGTTATGGTTCACACGTGTTTTGAGCGATTTAGAAGACCGATCTTGATAAGGAAATTTCCTGAAATCTGATTTGGCGACCAGAAGGGGTCAGCTCTTCCTATCGAAGTTGTTGACACGGCATGTTTTATGGTTGTCCCGAAATTCCGAGCTACCAACTAGCTTTACCGCGACGAATTTAGTGGGACACCGCCACAAAATCTTTGAGCATTTTTGAATTATTTCTGAACCTTCGGAGTGGAAGGAAACAAGAAATGGCCAGGGCAGGGTTGAATGCTTGGTTCATCCTGCATTCAATGTATAATTGGCTTGGAGGTAGGCAGACATTAGAAGCGGAAGAACTGGAAACACGGTGACCGCGTACCGGGTGTTTTTGCCAGTTGGGGACACGGCTGCCACATAAGTTTCCCGTCTCCAACGCAGCAGGCAGGTAGTCTGTATATCAGCGATTTGCATCACAACACCGGTTTATTCCATACTTCGGAGCAACAGAGAACCAGAATAGGGAGCGGCTTCAAAGATAGGTAATGGCAAAATCGGTCTCCAGTCGTGAACGACAACACACGAGATCAACGGGACGAATTGGATTTCTTATAACGCATCTGTACAAAACATGACATCAGTACTAGTCTGAGAAGCATCAATCGCAAAGCTCAATAAATCCATTCCCGATCATGCAAACTCGCTCGCCAACCGACAAATCACAGAAATTCGACCACAAAACACGCCGCGCCGAATTTGTGCCCGTTCTTCCAGAGACCATCACATCCACCACTTCTCGTACACTGCCAGGCCTTGAGCATTCGCAGTCGCGCCTGAGACGGCGATGTTTTGAATCTGTTTTGCGCTCTTAGGACCTCCGCTAGTATCGATCGTGCAGATACTGGCTGGAGTGGTCCCATTGCCAGCCGAAAGAACCAAATCTTGTTGTCCGAGATGCGGAAGTCCGTCATGCCCGCGTTGTAGTTGGGCGGGTAGTATTCGCTGACAATTTTGCCAGAGGTCAGGTTGGTCTCCACCAAACGATTGATGGTCGGGTCAGTGACAAACCCAGTACCAGTGTAGGTCGAGATTTCGGCCCAGCATGTCGCTCCCTGGCCAGTGATGTTTGTTGTGGCCATCGGCTGAGCGGTCAAATCATTGAGGTCTAGGACCACAGCGCCAAAGTTCGCCTGACTGGACAAGACAAGGTTGTTGCTCCGTGGAATCACAGCAGATCCAAACTCAACAGCCAAACCAGGGGGCATGAACTGCTCGCCTTGTTGGGAAAGAGATCCATTTGGGAGGACGGCGTATTTCTCGACAAATCCAGGCATGTCTTTACCGTTACCCTTGACAAAAACAATGACCTCGGACTCATCACCATTGAAGATGATGTCTCCCACTCCGGGGATTGAACCAGTGGGTGGGTTCTGTGTCTGACCCACGTTCAAGCGACGCAGCTCATCGAAGTCGCCCATCCCGCAGGTCGAATCGAATGAGGCGCAACTGACGCCGGCGTTGATGCCAGTGTTAGCCACACACACCATCTTGTGTTTCAGTGACACTGCCACAGGCACGGGGAAATCCCCCATGGAGCTTTTGCAACCAAGCAGTGTGGGTTCCATGGGATTCCAAGGATCGATAGAGAACATGGAGACCGAGTTAGACCCGGCGTTGACGTTGAAAAGGTACTGAACGGTATTAGCGTTGGTCTCATACAAAGTCTGATGAACAACATACATCTCCCGCAACGACAATCGAGTCAGAGCTCGAGAGAGCGTCAGGCTGACCAGGCTTTCCCGTCATGGAGTTCAGTAGATTTCCTCCATCACCCCCGGTAGCTGTAAGTATAGTGCCTGGGTAGAGACTGCCATTCGCCGAGGCTGCCATTGCTACGATGGAATTAGGAACCACATTCGTCATGGTGTAGACGACTCTTCGGTTTACGAATCCGGAATCGCACATAAACTCAGGCACCAGCCAGGGGAACCAATCTCTACAATCCCAGTGCGAGGTATGACGCTTGCCTGAGATGTGATCGTCATGGCTGAAACGGCTATCAGGGTGGATGCGACTCGGTGCATGTTGAGTGATGGTTGGTCGATGGGGCGCGTCTTAACCTGGTTGATGGTGTGAGTGAGGGAGTGAGATGATGCTGGAAGATGGCAATCACATCGTCCTCTAGCACATTGTTATATAGGGCGATCGATTCTCATCGGCCGTAGTCAGTGGCTATGATGGCTTGGTGCATGACTTCCATCGTTCGAGGAACTGATTCCATAAACCGAGAAAGGCGCTGCGCTTTGGAAGATCCCATGACTGTAGAAGATTATGAACATGTTTCCATAATCGAAGACTTGATGCCGTTCGGGGTCGGGCGTGGGTGTGTGCTTGCAAGGAGACGAGGCCGCGGATAAATTGTGGGGTGATTATGGAAACAAATTCCATCCTCCAGAATCCCGACAGATCCGTAAGAGTCATCGCCTCCACGCAAGCAGCGCCAAAGCTTACGGAATCTTTTCTACAAGCCCTTGTCTAACCAGTCCTGTCGGTCTCTCGAGACTCCATGACCTAGTTCCCACAGAGTGGCGTCCAGCTTCCCAAAGGTTGTGATTACCAGGAGTCACACCAAGCTTCACAAAAACGGGCGTGACGGTCGGACGGCCATGTGTTGACGCGTCTGAAAACCAGGGCTTCGCCACGGGCGGTTGGAGCGACTCCAAGGTGAAAACTCGCGAGGCGCTGACATCAAAGATTCAACGCAAGCAGAATTCTGTCCAGCGACTCAGCAGGTGTTTCGTCCTTCGTGGTGTTGAGAGACGATGGGGACAGCTAGGCTTGTTACAAGATTCGGAGCTCAAAGCTCGTCCCAAGACGCCTCGGCTCGACCCCGCAAGCATTCTCACAGCATGTGATATGTATAGTCATCATCCGACGACGACATCACGATATATTCGAACAGACACGACATCGAGCGTTCTTGCCCGAACGCTGTTGTTCACCAGAACCGGGTTGAATTCGGAACATGTATTCGAACACCTCCAAGAAGCCAGTCATCGCTGTCGTCGGCGCCGGTCCAGGCATAGGCGAAGCCGTCGCCCGTCGCTTTGCAGTCGAAGGCTTTGTTGTCGCGTTGCTTGCTCGCACAGAAGAAACACTCAAGGTCATGGCCGACGGAATGAACAGCGACATAGGAGAAGACACGGCACATTACTACATCACGGATCTTCGAGTCGAAAGCACTGTCCTATCTAGCTTCCAAAGAATTCGCGCCGACTTGGGGCCTGTGGAGGTGCTGGTCTACAACGCTGGCGCTCGTCGAGTCAACGGCCGCTCTATCCTCGACACAACGACCGACGAGTTCGAAAACTTCACCAAAATCAACCTTTTCGGCGCCTTCTGGTCCAGCAAATGTGTGCTCCCAGATATGCTCGCAGCTGGAAAAGGTACAATCCTTTTCACAAGCGCCACAGGTGCCTTACGTGGTATGCCTGGACTCGCCAGCTTCTCTTCCGGCAAGTTTGGATTGCGATCGCTATGTCAAGTTCTCACGCGGGAGTACCAAAGCAAAGGCATCCATTCTGTCAATATCATCGTTGACGGACCAGTTGACGGGAAGCTCATTGGAGGCGTGAGCAGAAGAAAATGGCAGCGAGCTGGCGATGATGAGAAGTTGAAGGACCCAGAGTCTTACTTGTTACAGCCCACCGATCTGGCTCACACGTACTGGTTCTTACACACGCAACCAAGGAGCACCTGGACGCAGGAACTCGACGTTCGGGCGATGAAGGAGACGTTATTCACAAAGCTTTGATGTGTCCCGCCATGGTCGTATCCGTCATGTATAAGCTTTGGGGGAAAGAAGATCGGTAGACGAATCTATACCGCTCGATTCCTCTAGCTAGTTATCCCAGACGAGCCTTCGAGAGCCCGATTGTTTGCTCATTTGTTTCGGAGCGGAGTGATTTGGGAGCTGGGTTCAGGTCACGTTTTGGCTGGGAATGGGCTGGGTCTGAGGTGGCTCTCATGGGCGCAGAGCGGCTTCATTGTACAGCAAGAGCTCAAACTGTATGGCAAGACTGTAGCCTAGGCGCGACTTGATACTGATGAGTCAACATACCGATTTAAACGCAACTCATGTGGGGAGAGGGAGCGGGGCAGTAGTTCCATCCAGCCGAGGTCAGTCCCGTGATTGCGGAGTTCTTGTAGCGCGAATATCTCTCAAAGATAGGTATACATCGGTCGCTCTCTGATCAAGTGCCCACGCTAACGCCGACTTCTGGTAGCGACAGCCATGACGCACTCGCATGGCGGAAAACTGACCATCTATGTCGATTGTGGTCAGTAGCGCGCCATCGCCCTCAAGGTCATGCTGACTTCCACAGTGTCGCCATATTCGTGGTTCGGTTTCACGAATGCAAGGAATTTTCGTCCGCAACTCCAGCCCTATGGGATCGAAGTCTGCATTGAGCCATTCTTCTTGGGAGGCGCACGGAATGGCGTAGGCAATCCTTGGACACCACCGCCAGAAGCCAAGGCTGCATTTGCGCAACAAGACTTGGATCTCACGTCAGAAGCTCTGGGTCTGAAGGTCGTCAGGCCCAAAGTCTTCCCTATATCATCTTTGTCTGTGAGTTGTGTCAATCACGACCGGTAGCAGCAAAAGCTGATTTGACGAGGCTGTCCGCGTCGCCAGATATGTCAAAGACCATTACTCGGCAGAAGAATTCGAAGAGACATTTTTAGGCTTGGTCTCAGGCTATTGGAACAAAGGTATCGACATTTCCACGATCGAAGGAATCCGAAAGGCCCTGGAGGGCGTATTCTCGACAGAAGACCTTGGACGCATAATGCACGGATCGGTCGAGTCTGGAAATAAGAAACGAGTCATAGAGACCACAATGGCTGTCGGAGCATTCGGCGCACCGTGGATTACCGCGATTAACGCGAAGCTTCAGAAAAGAAACTGGTTTGGAAATGACCGTTGGCACCAGGTTTTCTATCATCTGGGCGTTCCATTCACTCATCTTGCTATAACGCGACCTGGCACAGACAAAGCAAACCTATGAGTCAGGGTGGACATTTCTGATTTCGCCAATTGACAATCACTGTTATGCTGAACGGCAACTGTATCTTGTACGTCATGATTGCTCCAGACATTGTCTTTGTTGACGTTTGTCTCTATCTCAGATGCAGCCGGAGAGGCCCACAGTGTACTCATTCTACGTCAACTGTCTGGATGTCAGAGCATGAATTGACGCATGGCGCGGCAAGAGCGAACATTCGGCAACCAAGCTCGAAATTAAGTTGAGAATACGATGCTTAGACAGAATTCAGGGTCTAGCTCGTCGTATCCGGGCGACGAACAGTGATGGATTCTATTCCCGTAACTGTAAAATGACATCAGTACCGGCAGTCAATATCGCGCTCTTTGATTTGAGTAACAGACTTGAGACAGCATGCTAAAAATAATATCGATCTGCCTCTTGCATCATCTGCTATATATTAGAATGTGAACATATTTAAGCCTGCCACCTCGTGGGTGAAGCAGGCAGTCTCCATCATCTGCTCCTCATCCTTAATCACCTTTATTCAAACACCAGGATATATTGTCTAGCCTTCCAAAATGGTTCTCACGCAACAGATTCGAAATGCTGTGATCACAGCCTCAATGGTCAGCGCTTACACTTCTGATAATTGGGCTGGAGGCATCCACGAAGACAAAGGCCGAGTCACACAAGCCAGTGTCGACATCGTTGTGCCAGACTGCACCGTGGGCATACCAGCATACAACTATGTACCGTATTCTGTTTCCGGCTGGGCTGGTATTGATGGCTCTGACAGCTGCAACGATGTCGTGCTCCAAGCTGGTATATTCCTTCCACAAGACATAACCCACGATTCCATGCTGACATACGACTAGGCTTCTTCTGCACTGCAGAATCGATTGACAACAAGACTACCACATCCTACGACGCCTGGACCGAATGGTTCCCGGCGCCTCAACAAACCTATAACGACTTCGAACTGCAGGCAGGTGATGTCCTCACCATCAGAATCGTTGCAAACTCGAAGACATCGGGATCGACACTGCTTCACAATCACCGTACAGGAAAGAAAGCGCAGACCAACTACGCAAACCAGACAACTCCTTTGTGCTTGAACTCTGCCGAGTGGGTGATCGAGTCTGAGCTAGCGTTCACGTCGTTTGGACTGGACGGAGAGCGCACTGCTGGATACAATCCTTTTGTTTTCGAGCATGCATCGTACACAACCACTGGTAAGAAACATGCATACTCGGTTTTGTAGCGGATATTTCGGGTTACTGACAATGAACCAGACGGTAAGAAGCATCTCGCCAAGGCTGAAGACATGTTCAATATGGTCCAAAACGGCACGGAGGTGGCAGAGGCTGTTTACGAGAAGAACGGTCTGTTCAAAGTCAAGGATGTCACTCCCGCAGACTTCGCGAAAGGCGTGTGATGGACTAGCTCTCGAGATTTTCTTTCCCGTGGTCTGATTTGACAGTGTGAACTTCGGGGTATCAGTTAATAAAGTGTCTGATAATACATTAATGCAACTCTATTCGCATGCATAGTGGTTCTCGACACCCTTAAAAACTGGATCTTGTCAACTCGTCCACAATATAGGCCGGAATGGTCGATATCTGAAGTCCATAGCAGATGGCGTTTGAGGCGCGGCGTGCTCGACCTGCGAGTGGGAGACAGGAGTAGGTTGCTCAATTCTGAGCATCCCACAATAGCCTCCACCAACCATCTATCTCTGCCAGGGCGCTAGGAGCGCCAACTTCTACTATCTTTCCGTTATCCATGACGACGACACGATTGCAGCTAAGCAGACTGCTCAACCTGTGAGCCACACTGATGACAGTATGATTGCTAAACTCGTCCTCGATTACTCTCCTCATAAGCTCATCGGTATGCTTGTCCACACTCGACGTCGCTTCGTCCAGAATCAACAACTTCGCATCATCCTTCCTCAGGATTGCACGAGCAAGGCAGAAAACCTGCTTCTGGCCGTGACTCAACCCAAGATCCGATATACTCACATCGAGACCGCCACGACGCGATATCAGATCCCAAAGATCTACGCGTTGCAGTGCGGCGATTATAGCTTCGTCGGATACCGGTCTCTCCGAAATCTCAGAGTCTAGGTCGGAGAAAGGGGCAGAGTGGGGTGCAGCGTTGAACCGCACCGTGCCTGACAGAATATATGGCTCCTGGGGAATGGCGATGACTGATTCTCTCGTTTTCTGTCGAGGAATAATTGAGAGATCGATGTCGTCAATGGCTACACTACCTGCGCTGAGAGGTAGCAGCCGAAAAATGAGAGCTATCAAAGTCGACTTGCCGGATCCGGTCCTGCCACAGATGCCGATCTTCTCACTTGAGCGAATGGAAAGAGACACTTTGTGCAAGACAAGTGGTTTGTTGTCTCCATAGCCCGCGTCGACAGCCTTGAAAACGACGGTGCCCTTCGCCGGCCACGTTGTTGGCGGCAAGTCGCGTTCAGAAGGAAGATCCTCAGGCTTGACCTCATGCTCGAGCTTCTTGAGACGTGCGACAGCCCCAATCGAAGTCTCCAGGGCTGTCCAATGCTGGATTAAGGCCGCGAGACTTGAGCTAAAGCCCATGACGGAGATTAGTGCAACACCGATCTGCCCACCAGATGAATGATCTTTGAATTGTGTCGCGAAGGTGACCAATACAATGGCCACACCAGCAACCGTGAGTGCTAGACAGAGACCCAACCACTGCTGAATCATGTAAAGTAGATAATTCGGTACCTGTGATGCATCCATCTTCTCGAGGAAGCTCGAATGGAAACTAGACTGCCACTGAAAGGCTCGAATGGTGACGAGGCCTTCTTGGGTCTCAGAAAAGTGTGTAAAGAGCGGCGATCTCATCTCAAGATCTAGGAAGCGCAATTGACGACTTGTGCGCAGGTAGAACTTTTGGATGCCGTACAGTAGGGCTCCGATGAAAGGTATAAATGCGACAAGATAATACGATCCATAACATATCAAAGCAATATCCCATACTATCTCTGACGCATCACCAGTGACTTGGAGGAGCGCTATAGGTAGAGGCCCATCAAAAATGGTCATGTCTTGGCTGAAACGATTAAGGATGACACCAGCGTCAGTCGTTGCAAAATAGCTCAGCGGAGCAGCGGCGATAGTGGAGAGCAAGATCCAGTGCAGTCTTAGACCACTGCGGGGAATCATCTGAACCATTATGATCCTAGAATTGATTAGAGATGAAACGAATGTGTACAATTGAGAAACGTACCACAAAGAGATATACACAAGGGCCAAGCCACATATCGCGCCCACGAACATGACGGAGATGTACATGTCAGTCCGCTTACCGCGAGCGTCTGCCCAGAACTGAACCCAGAGATCTATCTGAGCGTTATTAAAGGGTAATCGTACAGCAATGGAATGCGTACCTGGGAAGGACTCCAGACTGATCTTGATGAACTGAGAAACAAGAAACGCTACAAGAATCGTCACTCCGGCGTTTCGGGCGTAGTATTTGTACAACGAGAAGTCGCCCAATCTCCGATCAGAAATAGGCAAGTCATCTGGGACATCGGACCCCAATGGTTCAGAGACAGGATCATCTGTCCTGGTTGTTATATCCTCGTGCTCGATCTGAGTTCGAACTTGGATTGCGAGATTTCGAACATAACCTTGTCTAGTTGTGAGTTGGTCGAACGAGCCCTGTTCTACGGGAGCTCCGTCTTTGTCTAGCGCAATAATGTAATCCGCAGCGTGCAAATGCTGCACAGCGTGAGTTGCAAGTATCACTGTCGTATCGTGTTTCTTGAACAGACCATGCTTCGACAACAGCCGTTCGGAGACGAGCTCTTCGGTTTTCGCATCGAGAGCACTGAAAACATCATCAAGCAAGACGATTGCTTTTCTCGCGTATACAGCACGAGCAAGGGCAAGCCTTTGACGCTGTCCGCCGCTCAAAGTCAGCCCTCGACTTCCAATTACGGCATCATCACGATCAGCAAAGCGAGAAATATCCATCTCTAGTGCGCACGAGAAGACTACGGATTTGTACCAAGCCTCTGAGTACGCGTCAGTACCTGTAATGATGCTCCTGATTGTTCCATTAGGTAACCAGGCTGACTGTTGGCAGTATGCAACATCTGAGGTGCGCATTCGGACGAAGCCTTTCAGATTCTGAATCTCCCCAAGTAAACCAAGAAGAAGACTGGTCTTGCCGGATCCGACAGGTCCTATGATCATGTTGATGGTGCCTTGCTTGAGCGCGAATGTGAGGTTCCGGATTGCCAGAGTATCCGACGAATAGCCAAAAGAGCATTCGTCAAAAGTCAAGATGTCGCTGATCCCTTGTGCTGCCTTCGGCGACATGGCTTGCAGTTCGATCGCGGATGATGCCGGAGATAGTTGTGGAGTGCTTCTGTGGTTGATGACGCGATTGTCACTCTTGGTCTCTGCAGCTAGAAACTTCTGGATGCGCTCGAAACAGCCGATGGCTCCCATATATGATGGTATGCTGGACGTGACAGAGCCCAGGGGTCTATCGAGCAGATTGATGAGTGAAACCAGGCTATAACCCTTGGCTGCGGTAAACTCATTGTCTCCAGCGCGTGCTTGCAATGCTACAGTCATCAGAATGAAAGCTTTCGCAAAACTCGGCATCATGTTGCCGAATATGTTGAGCCATATCGTGCACATTCGAACAGCAACCGACTTGTCCAGCTCGAATCTGCGTTGGTCTTGGAGCAAGGCTCGCATCCTGCTTGTCAAGCCTAGCATCTTCAATGCTTTCATGTCTTTGAGGAACGACGCTGTTAAGGCTACGCGCTGCTGGATGGCTGCGTTCCACTTCGGCCGGTTTTTCCTCATCTTTGGGCCCACCCAGAGAGCATTTCCGGCTGCGCTTCCAAGAGCGAGCACAATTGGTGCGAGACATCCGACTCCAGAACCCTTGCCAAGCAAATACATCGCAATGACCACCTCGATAGTGCTTGCCCAGATCTCGTGCATCTCCTCTGAGACACCGACAATGTAATCGACGTCGGCAGAGAGGCTGATGGGACTGGCGTCTTCCACGGCAGTGTATTGTAGACCCAAGGTCTTCTCATAGATCAAGACCGAGAGTGAACCACGTAACATGGTCATGAACCTGAAGTTGGCGTGTTGGAAGCGCCCGTTGGAGATTGCGATGCCTATGTAGATGATCGCAGTTGCGCCGATGATCCCATAGCCTGTATTCTTTTCTTTCTCGGTATCGTCGACGAATCTGATGATTCTGGAAATCAAGAACGGCTGCGAGTAGTTGAAGCCGACGAGGGCAAGTCTGGGAATGATAGGGGCGAGCAGAGGTATTTTGAGACATGATATAGTGTTCCAGAACAATGCGTGTTGTCCACCTTTGTCTGATCTTTGCCAGGAGACTCGAGCCTTTTCAGCAAGAGCCTTTGAAGACAATGCTTCGTCCAAGCTGTACAGATCTTTGGAAGCAATAGACCTCTTGAAGCCGATGATCAGAAATGGATTGAGCCACCAGAAGAGACTTCGGTTGTAAAGGCCACTTCTGCCCTCTGGTGTTGTACCATGGTAGGGCGGCTTCAGAAATGCACCTTTCTCTTTGGCCTCAAGGATAAGAAGGACAACTTTGAGAGACAACGTTGAGGAGAACAGTTTGGCGACTATCTGTAGGCTGTATATCTTCCATAGCGTCCGAAGTTGGACCGCATCAAAGAGCACGGAGAAGAAGAGGTAGAAGTTCAGCAGTGCCGAAGGACGGACCGACTTTGTGTGCTCCAAGTGCGACAACAGGCACATGCATACAGCCCCGATGAATGAAATAGCCGCAGCCGCAAGCGAGAGGCTGGTCCGGGGGGTCGACGGTAGAGCCACAACCACTAGCAACGCCAATTGCGTGCACGTATAGCAGCTGGTGGTGACCTGCATCTCTTAGCTTCGAGGGACTAGTAAGGAGAGGGCTCGTCGTCACCAGCTTCGAAGTATGCCATCGACTCTGTGACGTTTTCGCGTCGCGGCGAACTATTGCGCTCAGACGAATGATGGAACCTAACACAAGCAAAGCCGAAGGGATCAGGGACAGGAACGCTTCTTCGAAGAGTAAAGTGAAATCGAAAGCACGACAAATCGTCGCAACCGAGGGTCCAAACGAGTTGTCGTCGGCGAAAGCACAACCGGAGTAGTCAGACGTGAACTTCCTGCCCAACGGCAGGGCAGCCGCCGGAATAGTGGTGTTCAATGACATTTAGACAAGTCTGCCCACAGACTGCAGTTGCGCATGATGTGTCAGTTGCTTGACGTGAGGAGATGCTGGGGAGGAAGTCAAGATGGCTGCCTGGCGCTCATGGCCCTTATCGCTACCTCGGTAGCCTTATCGCTGAAGTCGTGACCGGTGAATGCGACACTTGCCGGCAGAATTGCTAGCCTGAATACCCTTGGAAGCTGTCTGCGACAAAATCTCGAACGACCAACTTTGCTGATCGAATTCCAGAGATACACCTCTTCAATCTCGGGGTCAAGTTGCAGAGTACTCACTGCCGGTGTTGATCAGGTGAGAGGCATGAATGATGGTCTGCGCGAATTACGGGATCAGAAGGATTCAAAGTCTAAGGAAGCCGAAGCGAGGGGGAGGCAACTCACGTTTAAACTTCTACTCGGTTCGCTCGGGAATACACGATAAGAACATGGGGACTGGCGGTTACCGTTTGTCGTGACTCGTACTTCAGCTGTTGACGAAAGTCGGTTGCCGAGAACCATTGATCAATTGATCGTCAGGATGCAGACGAGCAGGGTCGACATTTCGGCATCGGCTTCTGACGGTACGGCAATAGTCTTTCCCCATGGAAACGTACATAGTAGACATGGGCGACAGATTGTCTGTGTATGTGGAATTCATGTGTATAAACACGATCTCGTCGTTATTCCTTCATCGTCTTCTCGAATATCTCTAGATTGATTCCGTGGTTGTACTTTGTTAAAGTTCAGCGTACAAGACTCACCACGTCGAGCCACGCTTACAAGGAACGATGGATTCTAACACCTTACAAAGACTACCGGACCTGATTCATGGTATGGCCAAAGATGGTTCAACTCTGTCAGACTTGCTAACAGAAGAATATAGTAAACGACCCATTATTCAAACGTTATGCCAATTCAGGAATACAAGTCCCAGACACATACCCTGGCGTCTCCAATTTCATAAACACCACAGCTGTTGCAATCTACGGCGACGCATCACATCCTGTTGCTTTTCGCCTGGGAAATGGTGGTGCTGGTCATACTGGTATCCTTCGTCTACTCTGTGAGACCTTCATCACTTCTCGAGGAGGCGGCTTTTCAATCGAATGGGTATCGAACCACAGTCGGCACTCGCAGGTGGCCTTGCTTGGAGATATCGTTCAAGTGGCTTTGACGTATGAGCCTGCTTACGAGGATTTGTCTGTTCGTGAGGGCTGGGCCAAGAGGGTGACCAAGGTGTTCAATGACCATTTCATCTTGGTTGGGCCGGAGTCTAATTTAGCTGGTGTGATTATCGACGGCAAGATCTCAGATGCCATGAGAGCTATTGTGACATACGGTTCCTCACGTCCACAAGGTCAGAAGACCGGAGTCTTCCATACTCGAGGCGATGGATCAGCAACTTTCTACAAGGAGCTCGCCCTCTTCAAGCGTGCTGGCATCGATGTAGTGACGACAAAGTCGTGGAGAGTCACCAAACCAGGGACACCGTATGAAGCCTTGATGAGGGCGGATCGCGAAGGGGCTTACATCATCACGGATCGAGCAACATATCTGACAGCCAAGCGTGACGAAGTGTTGGCGAGCACAGTACCGTTGATCGAGGGTGGTCCCGAACTGCTCAATCCCTGTTCAGCACTCATCAATACTAGAGCTCCCCACAATGCACGAGCGAGGGAGTTTGCTGCTTGGCTGGGGGGCGAGGAAGTTCAGCAGATAGTCAGAAGGTACGGGCAGGAGTGGTCTGTCGCAACGCCCATCTTCACACCTGCGACCCAAGACGATATGATCAGGGCAGAAAGATTGGTATCAAAGCTGTAGGAAGACTGAAGGATATGATTCAACTGTTCGTCCAATCATGCCGACTATCATCTGTGATCGTGCGTGTCATCCTCATCATCCCATCGTGACAGTAATCGATTAAGACTGGTCATACGAGATACCATCGGCTTACAGGACTGTCCACGTAATCTTCTTTCTGGTTACCAGATGACTTCAGCACGCTCGGGCATTGACGCGACGGTGTCTGGTCGGTCCCGATAGATATTGGGTTTATCTCGCGGTCGGTCTTTGCAATGTTGAGAGCAACCATTAGCGTCCAAGAGATGGCGACCGAAAGGATTCCTATGGCCGTAGCAATAGCTGATCATTACCATAATCACATGCAGGACCAATATTGAGGCTGCTTCGGTTAGAGGTACCGTGTTTTGCCGTCAAAAGCCGCTGCGCCTGTCGCTCCAACAAAGCTTATCCTTACCGACCAGAAGTCTTGTAGTGCTTGGTATCACGCAAGACTGAACGAGTCAGCCGTATATCCGGGAGAGAGGTCAACGCCTCATCGCCCCATGGGGATCTGCTTGCGGGGATGCAGAGCACATCTGGACAATGGGTATCCCCGCTCGCAGAGCAGCAGTGCCCGACTGTGAAACATCGACCGACCATATGCTTTCACTTTAGCTGTCGCCGATCGCATTTGATCAGACACCGGCGTCAATCGTCTATAAATGACTCCTCGTTGCAACATCTCTCCAGCTTTCCAGTCGCTATCACAGCCAGGCTATCCTCCAATATGTCTTCTTCACCAACATACATGCGCCTCAAGGGCCAGAACCTAGTCTATGCAGTCACACTCTCTTGCTCTCTTGGCTTCCTGTAAGCATCTGTCAAACCAAAACGAATCATCGAAGCTGACATATCACAGGCTTTTCGGTTACGACCTGGGCTTCATGGGGGGACTCACCACATCCCCAGAATTCCTCGCGACCTTTGGCAATCCAGATCCAACACTCCTTGGCTTCTTAGTCTCATCTTACGAGATCGGAGCTTTGTTCGGAGCAGTCTTTGTGTTCCTGCTTGGAGATCGCTACGGTCGTAGGCCCATCAAGTTGTCCGGAGCCGGTGTCATCTCGAGCGGCGCAATCATCCAGTGCACCTCATTCGGCGTTGGTCAATTCCTCGCTGGTCGCATCATTGCTGGCTTCGGTCTTGGTATGATGACTTCAGTCATTCCAATCTGGCTTGCCGAGTGTGCTGCACCAAAGTCTCGTGGACGTATGATTGCCATGCAGCTGTCCAACCTCATCATGGGTCTCATCATCGCCAACTGGCTTGACTATGGTATGGCTTCCTATGCTTCCAGCATTCAGTGGCGATTCCCTTGCGCTTTCCAGATTGCATTCTGCATCTGTATCGCCTGTCTCGTACCATTCCTGCCAGAGTCACCTCGCTACCTGGCAAAGAAGGGAGACTCGGCTCTCGCTATCAACAATCTTGCGGCTCTGCGTGGCATGACTCAAGACGATCCCGAGTTGCAGCAAGAGATGAAGGACATCGAGTACATCGTCGAGGTCGAGCAGCGTGAAGAAGGCACCTGGAGTGATGTGTTCAGGGACGGAGGCATCAGTGGCTCCACCCGGGTCCTCATCGCTTGCGTCGCCAATGCACTCCAACAACTCACTGGCTCCAATGTCATGTCCAGCTTTGGACCATACATCTTCCAAAAGTCGATTGGCATGACTCGCCACCAGGCGCTTTTGGTGTCGGGAGGTCTGCAGGTTTTCTTCTTTGTCAGTAGTATCATTCCTTGGTTCATCATCGACAGAGTTGGGCGGCGCCGCCTTTTCCTGTTCGGGTCGACTGGTCTCGCGATCTGTATGGGGTTGTCGGCTGTCTTTGTTGGTGTCAAGGGCAACAAGAGCCTGGGCTATGGTGCAGCTGTCATGCTGTATCTCTACCAGACTTGCTTCACAGTCGGTTGGATGAGCAACATGTGGGTTTGTAAGTCGAAGCTCCATCCAATGCTCACAAGCATTGTGCTAACATCGTTTTAGATCCTTCTGAGCTTTTGCCTCTCAAGCTTCGTCTTCGTGGCGCCGCACTCTCGGTCGTGTTCCAGTGGCTTGCCACTTTCCTCATCGTCGAGATCGTTCCAATCATGATCAGCAACATTGGCTACAAGTCATACATCGTCTTTGCAGCCATCAATGTCGCAACCATCCCAATAGTTTACTTCTTCTTTGTCGAGACCGCCGGCCTTCCTCTCGAGGCAGTTGATATCCTGTTCGCAGACCGCGACGGCAAGCGTCCCAGTATCCTGCAAGTCGTCCGAGCCAGCAAGAACAAGGAGTACATGGCCGAAATTGTGTCTAGACTACACATGGAGGCAGACATTCAGGTTGAAGTCAGGAAGGGCGTCAAAGAGGACATTGAGTTTGTCGAGAAGGTAGAAGCTTGACTGGTTGCGCGGTAGCCAATTTGTACGTCTATGCAGCTGCTCAGATATCCTTGTTAATACGTACACTTTGTATCGGCGTTGCCTCGCTTCGAGTCCACATTCTTCTCGCTGCCATCGAACTCATATGAGAAGGAGACGTGTTCTCGTGAACTAGCTAAAAAGAAGCTCGGCCGCAGCGGTGCTGCATCCAGATAAGGAACACGAGGGGGCAAGAGGGGTCAAAAGGTTACCCCACCAAGCAGAGCCCCACCAAAACCAACACGTTTCCGACACTTCGAACCAAACGCGTCCTTCATACCACTCTCTCTTTCGTTTCAATCCCAAAACATCCAAAGAATGGCCGCAGAACCCACCGACATCGACAGCATCCTTGCCGCCGTCCCACACCTGTCTCAAGGGCCCGGTGGTGTCGTCGCGGTCGTAAAAGATGGCACGCTGCTAGGCCAACGCGCCTGGGGCTACGCCGACCTCGACAACCGCATCCCAATGTCAACCAAGACCCAGTTTCCCATCTGCTCTATTTCGAAGCAGATGATCTGTTTGGCTATGCTGTCGCTTTTGGAAGAGCCTACTGCTGAGATGGAAGAGCGCAAAGTGGATGTGGCACAGCAGTTCGAGGATGAGCTGCAGAGGTTGCTGCCTAATCTGAAGTGCGGCGCTGAGGACGGAGCCAAGGTGGCTGATTTGTGCAATATGCAGTCGGGTATCCGTGACTATTGGGCACTGTGAGTGGCGTATGTGATGTTTGTAGAGATCGAATGCTGACAGTGTTGCTACAGAACCACTCTCTGGGGCGCTCGTCCTGATGACAAATTTTCTTTGTTGCACGACGCTCCCAAAGCGCTCGAGCGAATCAAAAGCTATCACTTTGCTCCTGGCACTGAGTACTCTTACTCGAACGTGAACTTCCACGTACTTGGCCGGATCTTGGAGAATGTATCTGGAATGTCACTTGCTCAGCTGCTCGTGCAAAGGTTGTTCATTCCTGCAGGTATGAAGAACGCCAGCCTCTGCGCAAACACCAACGGCCTTCCTCTGCCCATCGTCGGATACGAGGGCAACCCAAAAGTCGGATACTTTGCCGCCACCAATCGCATCGAGTGGGGTGGTGATGCTGGTATTGCATGCTCGCTGGAAGACATGATCGCCTACGAGATTTACCTGGATAAGAGCCTCAAGGATAGTTCCAGTCCGTACGCTCAATCAATCAAAGACCAAGAGTACAGAAACGGCACACCAGCTAGCTATGGATACGGACTCAAGAAACTCAAGGTAGCAGGGCATTCAGCCATTGGTCACGGCGGCGCCCTCCGCGGGTTTCGACATGCAAGGATGCAGTTTCCATCGGAGCGACTTTCTGTGGTCGTCATGCACAACTTTGAGACATCACCCGGTGCTCCCGCCGAGTACATTGTCAAGAAATTGTTGGGTACAAAGGAGCCCGAGCCCCAGACGATTGCTTTCCCCGCTGCCTGGAAGGGACACTACCTGGATGAAGAGACGCAGCTCTACGTTGGAATCGAAGAAGGCGACAGAGAAAAGCCTGGCACGATTTCGGTCAGCTACGGCCCTGGCACGGGAGGTGAAGTGGCCAGATTGACGTCGGAAACGGAAGCGAAAGCCGATGGCATGAAGCTCAAGCTCGAGGGCGATGTTCTGCACGTGGAACGAATTGACGAGAATCGGAGCTTGCGGGCTGTGCGTCTGAAGGCTGTTGAGAAGAAGGACTTTGGTCAGACCTTGAGCGAAGGCGTGGTGGGAGTGTATCGCAACGAGGAATGCGACAGTACCTTCACAGTCAGCGGAGAGCGCGGTGCCTTGTACGGCTCGTTCGACGGCTTCCTCGGACGCGGACCCATCTGGACCATGAAGCAGATTGGGACCAATCAAGTGTGGGCGTTGGGTAATCCTCGTGGTCTTGACTCGACACCGCCCGGAGACTGGACTGTTGTCTTCAAGGACGAGAAGGATGGCAAATGCAGCAGCGTCAGCGTAGGGTGCTGGCTAGCCCGCAAGGTCGAGTACGTCAGGCAAGACTAGTCTGTCGCGGGCTGATTGTACATACAAGACACTCGAGATGAGGTTGCGGAACACAGTAGACGTTGTTTGATTCGTAGATTCATTCATGAGGCTCGTGATAGACGTGACTGAGGTTCACCACTCAATGATCTTCTCGCTCTGCCAGAAGCCGCCCGAGGAGCCGTTGATGTCGTCGAGAGCGAGCATGACGGGAGTCTTTGCGCCCTGATCTGGGGTCTTGACGCCGTTGCCCTTTGTCATGTCGGTGTTGACGTAGCCCGGGCAGCAGGCGTTGATCAGGACCTTGTTGTTCTGGGCAGCGATGGCCTTTGTGAAAGCCGTTGTGCCCGCCTTGCTGACAGCGTATGCGGCCGATGGCCATCCCAGCTCTTTCTCGTTGCCATCTTGTACGGCCTTGGTGAAGTCTTGCATGAGGGAGGTGCAGTCGGCGACTTGAGACTTTGAGGCGGCGATGAAGGCGTGGCGGAGTTCGGGCGAGTACTTGTTGAGCTTGCCGGCCATGGAGCTGACGTTGACGAGGCGGCCGCCGTCGCGGATCAAGGGCAGGATGGACTGGGTGGCTTCGAGGGTGCCGTAGTAGTTTGTGGCCAGCGTCTGCTTGACGACCTCGGTGTTGAAGCCGTCCATGGCGATGCCGGCATTATTGATCAGGATGTCGATGCCGTCGGGGTGAGTGTTGCGCAGGAAGTCGCGGAAGTTGTGAATGCTGGACTGGTCGCTGACGTCGAACTGGTGGAAGGTGATTGTTGTGTCGCCGCCGTGCTGAGCGAGGACTCTTGCCTGCTTGAGCTGGGGGTCGTTCTCGAGAGTCTTGACTGCTTCGGCGCCTCGCGAGGCTGAGCGTGCGCAGAGGTAGATGGTCAGAGGGCCCTGCCGGAGAGGCGATGAGGGGTATGTGAGGGCCAGATTGCGCACTGTGAGGCTGTCAGCGGCGAACAAGCAAAGGTGCGACTGGAAGCGTCGCTTGGTGGAGAAACGAGAAGGCGAGTGGGACCGACGCACCGATGGCAAGACCAATGCCCTTGTTGGCGCCAGTGACTGCTGCAACTCTCGATTGAACGGCCATGTTGACTTTGTCTTGACCTTGTTGTCGTTGAGCTGTTTGTCCATCAGCCAACCCCAAAGACGTCACCACGTCTTTTGGCCTGTGCTTTGACCACATGAGCACGCCGGGTAATTATTGCCGAGCATAGCTTGACAGGTGCCTTTTCTCTCGACAAGCTTACCATGCTATACATGGCTGTGAAATTATCCTGGGTACGTGGATGCACAGTCAAGCAACTGCAGTATTGGATGTGAGCATTCTTCCCTCGTCTTATGACGTCCGCCAGATCATGTTTTGTACTCACAAATGACATGAACAGTGTCTGAGTCCAATTGCCTGGACAACTCGTACAGCACTTCAATTTCGAGTCCTCGAAGAGTGACGAGTCCGCATCTTGGCATTCGACATGGCTGGAGGGGACAATGTAGATAGCCCAGTCTCAGCCGCCACATCGCGTCTCTCTGCTCACACGCCTAATCAATCATTCAACTACCTCGGCGCGCTCTTCGGCCTGATGGCTTGGACAAATCACTTTGGCATATCGTGCTGGAAAAGCGCCATACACCAATGCGGAATTTTCGAAAGCATGCCTAAAGTCGTTCACGGTATAGACTGTGGAGGACGCTTGGCCTTTTTTGCAGCCGTCGCCGGTTTGGCTTGTATTCTGTCTGGCTATGTGACAGGTGCAGCGCTATCACCGCTATTCCGTAGAGGCGCTGCTACGACCGTCGAGACAGCGTCCAGGTCGGACGATCCAAAGCAAATCAATTGCGAGTGATCAATCCCCCTTCAAGAACTTCGACATCAGAACTGCTCGAACACCCAGACAAAATGACCACTGGTCCTGACACGGACGTAGCAACTCACGGCTCGCACTTGGGACTCGCGACATCATTATAGCAAGGACAGAATCGACATACAAGGTCAGCAACCAAAAGCCTCTACAGCTGTGGTTCCGATCTCCTGAAACTAATCTTCTACTCCGACTATTCTTATTCCTCTATCTGCTTCACCGGCATCCAAGCACAAACAGGAGCAATTCTGCGGTTCGACTCTCTAACTCCAGCAATCGTGAAGAGAGGGGTTGCCCTCGAAATTGGTTCCAGAACCATCCCACTCAGCGATGAGATAACCACCAACGTGCGGTGTGCCATACGTCGCCTGGTCTTGCAACTCGAACGAATACTTGTCTCCAGACTGCGTGTAATATGCCCAGTACGCCCAATCATACGTTATCTCGCCAATAGAGTCGTCAAAGTTTTGATTGGCGATGCTGACACGATCCAAATATTCAGGGCTAGTGTACGAGTATTTGACACCGGATTCGGCAACATCGAAACACGTCGACATGTTGATGCAAACAGTCACCGAGTGTCTCCAGGATTGCGATCGTCATCTTTTTTGGCCCAGAGACATTGACGACATCGTCAAACATCCAGAGCTCCAGGTGTTGTATGTTGACATTCTTCTTTCTTGCTACCGCGTGGATGTCTGCAACAACTCTGTCGACTACGCGCGAAATCAAAGAGAAGATGATGCTGCTGACACTGGACTATCTAGTCGACTTCTCTGTAGTCATTAGATTCATGCAGATCAAGCTGCTTTGATTTCCAACAGTCGGAGCCTCTCGGTGACTTGGTGCTCTACATCTGCGAGCTCACGCTTTGTTATTCAGAGTTTGTGTCGGACCCAGCAGCACTTGTAGCCAAAGCAGCAGTGGATACCGCCAGTAGGCTGATCATTAGACCACTAGGGCAGGGAGAAGCCAGTATGAATACTGGTGACGAAGTTCGACGATCACTTCCTCAAATCTTCAAGATCCTATCAAAGCCACCTCGTGCCCTGTCACAAGTATGCTAGAGAAGAAAGATCTAGTGTGGCTTGGGCTGTCAATGGATTTCGGCCAGAGTGTGGCTCCACATATAGGAGATACCAAAAAGCGTGCAGTCTTGTATAGTAGAGCTAGAGGGTATGCCAGGATGTTGGCAATACAGTTCGTATAAGAGGTGCTGCAGTTCTGGAGGATTGGGATACCGGATTGGTAGGGGTGGTCTGGATGTATTCCTCTTTCTGGAAAGCCTGAACGTAGGAAGGCTCAATGCATCAGTAAGCCCTAGCCGCTACGGCCTTGCATGGTGCAATCAAATGTCTCTCAAATCCTTACTGGCTTCGATTTGCTGATGTTCAAGTATTCCTTGTTGCAATTCGCACATACCGTTCTTCCATAATCGTTGTGCGCAAATCCAATGCTCCGAGCATCTAATCTCTGAGAGATTCGGGTTGGCGCTTTCCTCAACGACGTCAACTTCGCTCAAGCGCACGCGTCTAGGAGACAGCAGTTGGTATGATTGGTTGATCTCTGCTGGCTGGTAGCCGCTAGCGACGACAGCATATTGCATTCCAAGCAGTACAATCAATGCCGTCCGTGTGATCGGCCCCGGTAGGAGGAAATCCTGCCCCTATGATCCACCAAGCAAGCATTGAGTGACTCTTAACACTGTCAATTGCACTTGTGCAGAAAATCAGCCATCCAGGAAGTGATATCGAATGTCAAAGGTGAGTCGTTCACCCTGCATGCTTCGTGTATAGCCTGCATACGTGCCACAGTCTTGTTCAGAGTTGGCCAATACTCGGCAAGTCGCATCATCATCATATAATTCTGCTCCAGATATTGCTTTGCGGCCAGGATCGACATCTCATCGGCGTCAAACACCAAGGTGTGCAGGTGGACAGCTGTGGCGACCGCAAGCATTTGGCCGATACAGGGCGCGCAGAAAAACGTCATATCCGAAGGAGTTCTCTTGAACCAGATGAACATCATTTCCGTCAATGCAGAAGCGTGTTGCCTGCAGCGAGCGACGTAATCAGTGATTTCTTCATCTTTGAAGTCCTTCGTACCATTCTGACGCCCACTTAAGAATTGGAAATAGATCATCTGATTCATCGCATGATAAAATGGATGTACGATCTCCATCTCATTAGCGCGATCCACGTCTTTGAATATCGCAGGGTTTTCGAGATCATTCTGTAAGGAGTGCGGCAGACACCGGAACAACTCGTCCATCTGGGACTGCAGGCTCCGGAAGTCGACCTCTTGAACCCTAATTTGATCATGTCTATAGTTCAGGTTGCGTACCATAGGGTATATTCCGAGGAGTGAGATCATCAATGCCCGCAAGCTTGTCTCACGTGTGGTGCTTTGAGCACCATGGTCTGCAAGGCGGATAGTGGCCAGATCGTCCAGTGGTTTGGGATATTGTGCCGGAGGGAACAAGCCTCGCGGAAATTGACATTCACAAGAATACCACAGATCATTTGTCCATGCCACCCAATACACTGTGAAAATGGCTGTTCGTCAGCGTCTCAGTAGTGTCATACAATCAGAGTCGAACTCACGTGAGATGTTGACTTCACGTTCGATAGGGTTTGTAGATAAGTCTGGTCGCTGAACCATCATCTGGGCTATTCGTGTCGCATGGGCCGCAAGCAGAATGTCTTGATCATGGAGGCCTTCAGCAAAGCTGCATGAACCCAGAAGACATGCACCTTGTAATGCAGATGTGCAGACCAGGTCAGTCCTGCTGTAGAAACCCTTCAATGCTGTATCTAGGAACGGCCGGCCTCTGTCATTTCTCGGGAATCCCGCCAACTGTGGATTGATGGAGAAACTGTGGGATGATCAGTAAATTACCCTGTATGTATGTGCAGTTCGTTCATGGAAAGACACACCGCGCAGCCAGAGACGCCATGGCTGATACGACATATCTAGGTATTGTACCGGCTTGCAAGCTTGTCATGAATGATGGTCGATGGAATAAAAAAGGCTGTTTCTCGTGTATGACGTCAAAATAGATGTTGACAAGCTCTGTGGTCAGAGCTTCATTTTCGAGTAGGGAAGTGACAGTCTCAGGGTTTTGAAAGACCGAGGACATGTCGCTCGAGTGGGCTGACTCAAAGGGACCGGAGCCGTTCTGTTGCACGGTTGCCGGAAAACTTGGATCGATATCGCAAATCAATCGCTTGGTCGTACACAAGACGCAGGGCTTCCCTGCGACGGTGGGCAAGCATTTTTTCTTCCTTGCGCTGCATGACAAGATTACATCGCTAATTCATTCTTTGTATCCATCTGAAGCTTACTGGCAGACTGAACATGAGGTGCGCAAGCGCATGGTCGGCGACGAGGTAGTGTTGACAGGAGTGCAGGTGGCGCCTGGTATTGGAGGGCGAAAAAGTTGGTCAGCTTCCGCCGAGGACGAACGTTTCGCCCCCACAACAACAGCGACATTTGGGTTTTCTCCCGACTCCTCACCATCTAACATGATAACATCCAAGTGACATGCATAGCAGTCTCTGACGATGCGTGCCTCGTCTAGGATTGCGCTCGCACCTAGAACGCTTTTGACTGCAGCTGCGTACATGCGCGGGTCACGACCCGACACAATCGTTCAGGACCCATCGGGGACGAAAACCTTTAAAGCAGCTATCAAAATTTACAGATAAGTGTAGTCCCTCTTCTCTGACAACAATGCTCTGATAGCCTCGCGTGGGCTGATAGGCTCTCTTCCGAGAATCTCGCCCATCAACGGATGCGTCGTGGACAACGCTCCGGCGACGATATCATCCCACACGATGGCAACCGTTTCGAAATACTCTTTACCTTTTCCAGTTCCTTCATGCTGCAACAATTTTCTGCGAAGGAAATTATCGCGATCAACGATCCGAAATTGGACTCGACGATCCGTTGTCTCGTTGATGACATCAACCATCTCTTTAGCGGTGATGGTCGCCAGGGCAGTAAACAGCACAACCTGATTCTCATAACCTCCACTGATCATAATACGGGCGGAAGCCTCGCCCAGGTCAGTCCGAGAGGTATATGCTGCATGTCCATCGGCGGGAAGGACAACCTCAGTCGTATCAGGATACCAGTCCAGGAAGAAAGGGAAAGCCTCTGCGTATGCTCCTTCCCTAATGGACGTGAATGTCACACCGGACCTGGCAAGGTTAGCTTTGTCGAGAGTCATTGTGTGTTACAACATCGTACTCTTTGAGCAGTCTCTCTGTCAGAATATGGTCTTCTTGTGGGGGCGACTTCGCGTTGTCCTCGAGACCTCCAAAAGCAAGGGATGTATACCATATCTGAAGTCGTCACGTCCGTTATTGATCTGTCATTTTCACAATCACAATAGAGGCCGGATGACGTACATGCTTCACTCCTGCCTTCTTTGCAGCGGCTACAACTCTTGTGTGCTGTTCCAATCGGTCTGTGCCGTAGGAACTGACCATGAGTAGATTCTCGACATCCTCCAAGCCTTGGTCCAACGATTTTTGATCCTTGTAGTTGATGTGGCGAAATGCTATCCCACGATCCTCGAACGAACTCCTGTTAGCAGCTTTGGAGGACGCAGCAGCAAAATCCGAGGGCGAGACATTTGCAACAAGATAGCGAAGAATCTGCCCACCGAGACCTCCGGTCGCGCCCGTGATTAGGTACTTTACGGGCATCTTATGTTTGTCGTGTCAAGTTGGTATGATTTTTCGAATAGTGTCAGAGGACCCGTGGGAGAGAGGTAGTCTTACATATTCCTGACAAGCCTTGCTCTAACCAGGTCTTCAAGGCATTTGATTGCTAAGCTAGATCTTGGTCCATGGATTGTTCCGTCATGATACACTGCTGTACATTCTCATCGAAGCCACCAAAACCGCCAAAGCTGACAAAGCCGTCAAAGCCGACAAAGTCGTCAAAGCCGTCGTCAAAGCCGTCAAAGCCGTCAAAGCCGACACAACGTTCAAAGCCGACAGAACATCTAACGTCGTCGACACCGTTGATGATCGACAAGCTCGAGGCCGGCAGAATTCGACGCAACAATGCACATTCTAGTATGCCTGGATTGCATAAGCAGCCGTCTCTAACACGATAGAAAGTTCTGCTGCCGACTCCTTATGGCCACACATTGGTAAGCAACACCGAACCCTAGCGGCCTACAAAAGAATGCCCAGCCGGCGACGATTGGGTCCCAGCTCCCAAATACATCATTGAACTCCTCAATTCCCCAAGGCCTGACAATTCGAGACAACCATGGCTCCTACGATCCTCATCGTGGGCGCGACAGGAAACACTGGCAGAGGTGTGACCGAGACTCTGCCTTCTTTGTTGAAGGCCTCAAACAGTCTCGCCGGTCACAGGGTCCTCGCCCTGACAAGAGATGCTAAGGGTCCCGCCGCCCAGAAGCTTGCTACAATCTCTGGAGTCGAAGTCGTCGAACAGAACTGGACCGAAGTCACCGCCGAATGGTTACGCCAGCACCAGGTCGTCCGCGCCTTCATCGCATCGCACAACGCACCTAATCAGTTCATCGAGGAATCAGCCTTCCACGTCGCTGCCTTGAATGCTGGCGTCGAGTATGTTGTCCGCATTTCCACTACCGCCGCCACTGTCCACCCGAACTTTGGCTCATACTACCCACGCGCCCACTGGGCCATCGAGGCTATGCTCGCTACACCAGAGTTTGCCAACATGAAGTTCACATCTCTTCAGCCGAACGCTTACTTGGACGGCTATCTCTATGGCGCCGCTGCGTACATCAAGCAATACAAAGAGACCGGTCAGCAGGGCACTCTTAGCCTTATGATGGCGGAAGACACACCTGTCGCACCGAACGATCCCAGCGAGGTTGGAGCCATCGCGGCCCATCTTCTTGCTGTACAAGATCCTGGCTCTCACAACGGCGCCAAGTATGTCATCAATGGTCCCAAGGATATTACTGGTCAACAGATTGTGGATATGGTCGAGCAGCATATCGGTACGAAAGTGCAAGATGTGGTTTACCAGGATCTAAGCTTCTTGGACGGACTTGTGGCCAGCGGATTTGGCGGGCCTGGACAGTCGAAGACTGTCATGGCGTCCATGAAGTATGGTCTGATGGTTATGTGGGATGGTTCCTGCAATGCCGCAGGTACGAGCAAGGAAGTTCTCGAGATTGGCGCACCGAAGCGCACTCCATCCGAGATGCTTGATCGCTTGCTACAATTCTAGATATGGGTTCATAGCTAGAGATTAAGAGAACTTACGCTAGATCTATAAAGCCTTAACAACATCAAGCTATCAATAAGGCAGCTTATCTATAATAGAAGACGTCTCTACATTTTCCCTACCCCTAACGCAGCTTCCCTAGAGTTCTAGATAACACTTGCCTAGTCGTATGGCGGCATCATCATCTAGGCAAGAGAGTGAGAAGCATTGCGGATGTTAACAGCCTGACGTAGACAAAGCAAGCTCTTCAACATCCTCCTTATCCTGCGACATGATTTCCGCCCATCCATGATTTCCGCCCATCGCCCTTCGCTTCTCGCGTGTCGAGTCGTGATGTGTCTCGACGATGGACTGTCGAATTTGTACAATGTAATCAGTACTGCAACGATGCCGACTGTGTCATCACACAAGACCGAGAGGATGTCCAAGAGGTTGTTACTCAATCTTTCGAAAAGCTCGCGCGATCCTTGGAATAACCGACAATTACTGCTGGCCGGACGACATTGCAAATACTTTCGCTCTCGGGTGGCAGCTCTGCCGTGAAGCTCGATCTCAGGATGCTCCGATCGCAAGCGAGACTTCGCGATTTGCTTGCCGCGTAGCAAGACAACCTCTACTGATGGACTCACTGTTTAGCTAAACATGAATTGACGGCGTGATCTCAATCTCAAGGGGCGAGAATTGCATGAGCAAGTATAGACCTGCTCACGTCTGCCGTTTGCACTTATTTGAACCGGCCGAATAGTGACTCTACCCGCGATGCGAAGGGTACCGCAAATATCTCGGAACGGTATCTGACGGCCTGACTGTTTTGTGCGAAGTTGTCAGCGCAGTGATCAAATCAAATCCAGCAACCACATACAAAAGAGGATATAGACGCCCACGATGTCTTGTGTCCCACGACTGCCGATAGTCACTGAGGCAGAGCGACCGCTGAGCACCTTAAAGAATTACACGGCCGCTACTTCTATTCCGTTTATGCACCGTTACAGTCTCGAAGACACACTGGCAATGCCAAATTCTGTCTGGCAAGTGCAGATATCAAGCGGAACGACAAACGTGTCATGATCACAGCCCTAGGACAGTGCTTTAGAACGCGTGTCACAGTAGGTCAGGACGAAATGAACCTTGATCACGCGCTGACAAGACTGTTTTCGGTCAGAGTTCTGTGCAGCAAGAACGCTTTTATGCATTAGGTTTAGGCGGGGATTAGCATAAACACCACATCAACGAACTCGAAAGGCTGCTCCGATGACGATTAAGGCCAAGTATTGTAATTCTTCGCCTTCGCTTCTTTATATCACTGCTTCTAGAGCCGTAAGCCTTCCGTAGGGGCCACTCCTATTAAGCTACACTCTTAAGTAGTCTCTAGCCTACCTAATATTATCTAAACATTCTTAGTAAGAATGGAGCCGAAAACGGTTAGCGTTATCCGAATCGGGTAATTTTGTAAGTAAGAATAGAGAGTAAGAATAAATAGTCTAGATTTCGACTAAAAATAACTTATAATTACTTAATATTTTATAGAAGTAAGTTTATAGTATAAATAAATAATAACTATAAGTACTTTATTTATCTAATACTACTTTAGCTATACTAGAGCTAACTAGCCTTTAGATAAGTTATACTAGATAGCTAGAGATCTATCGTAACTATTAGCGTAATATCTTAGTACGCTTAATAGAAATTAGGCCTTAATAGCTTAATAGCTAAGATATATAACTTAGCTACTATAATAGTATAGATATGTTTAGCCTAGTAAATAATAAGAAGCATATATATATTTCCTCCTATAAGCTATTAACTAAGCTCTTAACTATTATAGAAAGACATTATAATATACTAGTAAGCTAATTCCTTACTAGCTTACTAGTATAGAGTCTAACGAATTCTACTCTTATTTATTTATATTTCTTAGTTTAAAAGTAAGTCGTTTAATAGTATTAATAGTTATAAAAAAAATTCGCTTTTAGAATCTACTATCTACTAGCTATTACGTAGGAATTAGCTTCTAAGATTAAGCTCTTAGTTAACTAACTATAGTAGCTTAGTAAAGTCTAAGATAACTAATGCTAGAACCTTATAGAATCTAAATCTTATAAAGCCCTCTATAGTTATAATATTATAGAAAAATCCTAATTAAAAATAGTCTTTCTTTCTTAATATAAGACTTTTAGCTATTTATTTTATATTCCTATACTACTAAGTAAAAGGTTATTTATAGTATGTTTCAAGAGCTACGTAAGGGTAGTTTATTAACCTTACTATAGTATAATAGACTATTAACGCTAATATATAGAGACAATTAGTAGTAATATCTTAATTATAAGTGCTATAGTTAGTAGTAAGAGCAGATTAAAAGAGCTTAAGTATAGAAACGTAGTATATAAATATAAAAGGGAAAAGATACCTAGTTTAGTATTATTAGAGATAAATATATAAACTTACTTACTATTATAGCTAACTATTCTCTTAGAAAGAATAACTAGTTATAGGGTTAGACTTATAAAGAGGAGTGTTAAGTAAGTAGTAAAGTAAGTAGTATAATATATAGTAGTATATACTAAAGGGACTATTAGAATAACTAACTAAGTTAAACGTAGGACTTCCTAGTAAAGACCTACCTACCTATATATCTTATAGATAATAAGTGTATATACGTTACTCTATATACTCTATTATACTCTATTAAGTAGAGTAGTAGAGTGGGGTAAAGTATATAGTGTGTTTATATAAGGTGCTCTATTATACTAAGGTATAGAGAATAATAGAGTAGGTTATATAACCCTATTATTAGTAGGATTATAACACTTACCTAGGCTTTCTAATAATTTAAAGAGTAGTCTTAACTTTATTAAGGTTATTATAGTGTACTAGAAGATACTAATTATAATATACGCTATTATAGTATTCGTACGAGTTAGAGGCTATAGTTATAATAATGTCGTAATTAATAGTAGTATAGTTAGAAGGCGTCTTAAGAAGCCTATAATAACGTATCTAATCTCCTACTTATATAGTAAGTAGTAGAAGCACATTTATAGTTAGGCGTTATAGATAGTAGGCGTGTTATAGTAGTTAAGTAATAGTTATGTCTTATAAGGTAGTAAGATTAATGCGTATATAGCCTATAGGCGTTATATTATGCTTCTATAGTAACGGAATTAAAGAGAAGGTGTCTATAATAACTAAATAGCTGTAGCGTTAATAGTAATACTAATAGCGACGTTAAAAGTGGAGGAAAGAAAACACATGGGTCCTAGATTCTTATACAGTATGATAGGCTACAGTAGCCCACGAACATAATCGACATGATTGACGTCAGTCCGCGGATGTTCGGCAGACTTCTTGGCAACACCATTAAGAACAGGCAGATTTCCTCTACACTCGTGCAATCATTTTCCATCCACGAAAGTCTTCTACTGGCATCCAGATCCTATCGCGAGACTTTTATATCAGCACGAAGTCGAAGTCGGTCACCAGTCAGTCCAACTATGGAACCTTCGCCCCTCTTGCTCATCATATATACCCTCCTTGGAGTAATACTTCGTTTCCATCAAGTTACGTCCTCCCTCAACCTGCGACTTGATGCGGCCTTCAAGCTCTATTATGTAGTGGTTGTCTTGTTTCTTGGGTCCGACTGTTACCTGTTTACAAACTTCGCGATCGACATTATCGAGATTGCCTCCACATGGCGAACAGATGACCCAGCACTTTCTGAGAGGTCGTGGCTACTTTGGGTTTGTCTAGGAACAGCGGCAACAGCATTAATAGGCATGCTAGCTCTGCTCGTATACAACTTGGGCGGAAGCTGGAAATCGGCGAAGCAGAATTTCGCGACTGATCGCGCCAAGGCTGAAGAGGAAGCAAAGTCAATAAACGAGAAAAAAGTGGCAATCGGCGCGTTCACGCTCTACACATGGGTCTTCTTGTACTCGAAAGCTTTCTTCGACGCTGCGCTCTGGGCGATGGGATTGTTCGAGAAGGGGGAAGCCGAGCGGCAGATGGTGCCGCCTCTCTGGCACTCTCTTGGACCTAGCTAATAGGTAGGGGGACCTTTCGCAGAAAGGTCTCCCGGATTGGGTATAGCGGGGAAGCTTGGCAGGCCCAAACAGGAAATTTCGACGCGAAAGATCTTCCGAAAGACCCATTTTATAACTCATATAAATCTTGCTAAACATTCCCAGAAAAGAAGGTAAGTTACAATTTGGGCAGTGCGGCATTAATTGCACTATTCAGAATATTAATACAAGTGCTAGCTAATCATATATCGTCGCCCAAACTTAGTAGTAACGAATTCTAAAGTTCGCTAAGGCTTACGCCCGCACCTAGCAGTAAGTAAGGTCACCCTAACACCACATGCAAATGACAGTATAAAGATGTAAATAAGCAAGTGTATTACATTTCGAAACTATATAGTGATCTCTTCATTTTCTCTATCCGAAGAATTATAGACTACTCGGAGCAATCGATTAAATGCGCGCTTACGAGAAGAATGCTAACTAATCGACTTATCTTGCGCTTAGCTAGCAATAAGTTCCCGCTCGCTAAATTTGTGCTATCTAACTTCTTTAAGGCTAGCGACAGTAGGAATAAGGTCTACTTTTAAATATGCTAGTGCCCGTAAAGCAAAGCTACGATAAGAGTCGTAACAGTTGCGAACTAGGTGGCTAGACGAGGTGCTATGCTTTTCGAAGTACTCGTATATCTCTATAAATTTAGTAAATAACCGTATAAACTTAGGCCCATCGTAGGCTGCCACACTAGAGTCCGTCTACTAGGAGCGTAGTGCTTTAGGGTCTATACTGCTTAATAGTATGTCATCTAAAAGCTAGGATAGCCCGGCAGTAGGAGAACTACGAGGCGGTGTAATAGGCTCTATAATACGATGTCTACGAACTTTCTTTATGCGATGATTACCGGTCTAATGTACTACCGAGGGCTTAGCACCAGCATTATTAGACTTACTAGATTTACTATTAGACTTAATAATAACAGCTTCGCTATTTTCGCTATGTTACTTCTGTCTTTTAGGATCTAGTTCTCTACTAGTAGTAGTGTTATGTTATGCCGTAAGCTTTCTCTTATTTAAGATAGCTAGAGTAGACTTTAGAACTACTAGAACTAGTGGCTTTATCTTAAGACGATCTTATTTAATGCCGGTTATATAGGCGTTTACGCTCTTATTATAGGACTTAAAATCATTAAGTACTAATTTCGAGGTTTTTTTCTAACGCGTACTAGGCTTACGCTAGGTAGGGTCGATTCTTTTGTTAATTGTAGCTTACTAGCCGGCAATAGCTTCTATAATGTCTACCACATTAGCGTAGGTAATGGCAATATAGGTCGTTATCCGTTTCGAGAGATCTTTTACCGACTTAATAGGTCGTATAGACACCGGAATCTAGTTAAACTAATCTTCGCCCTAGTGCTTTATAATCTAATTAAGATGTGTTTTCTTAGTCTACTACGCTAACGAACTAACGACGACTATAACCCGGACGATATCGCCATTACTAACGTTAGCTAAAAAGGCTTTTTCACTCTATATGCTAGGATTAGGATAGGTGTTCTATAGGCTGTTAATCTACACCCACCGCCATACGTACGCCGCATTAACACTAGCATTTTCGGCTATATCGGCAGAAGCAGACAAAATTTCGCTTATAGCTTATATAGGTAAGATGTTTCTACTAGGATTATTAAGATAATCCTATAACGATACGTTCGCTTTATCTTATAACTTCCGTATACGTAGCTCTGTCTCGACTTCGTTAAGAGATATCATTTAGAGCCGGGCATTTATATCTCCCGCTTTAGCTCGGCTATAGAGCGATTAACCGGACCGCTTTTGTTATTATAATGTAGTTAGTAGGTTAGAACTAAGCATCATCTTAAGACTTAGAGGCGGTAGCACATTCTTAGTAGTAGTAGGAACTAGAGGTTACGAATGCTATAGCTATAGTTATAGCTAAGGCTAGGGTGGGGGTAGAGGCTAGACGACGGCGTCATTACTACTAGACTTAGCTAACGCATTTGAAGTGCTAGGGTCGAAGCGATATAGCGTATAAGCGCGGACGTGTTTAATACGCGCCATTCCCGAAACGCGTAGCGAACAGTAGTAGAGAGAGAGAAAGAGAGACAAAAGAATAAGAGGGGAAAAGGTAGATATTATAAGTAGGGAGTAAGGAAATAAGTATAGGTTTTAATAGAGTAATTAATCGGATAAGTAAGATAAGGTATACGATATAGAAGGAGGGACGGAGTAATTAGAGAAGAGGGCAAGAGATAAGGGAAATTAGCGCCGAAGCTACGTAGCTTAGACCCGATAAGGATCTATATCCGGAAAGCCGGGGAAAATCCCGCACTTAGCTAATATAACACTATCCCATTAGGTTAAGACATACGTAAAGCTAAGGTAAGCGAACGTATTATAAGCAGAAACTAAGGAAAAATTAACTAGGATTACGCGTAGGAGACGCGTTAGAGTTCTAAGGTTATATAGTGTTATCTCTTAGTACTTACTCTAGGTAAAGGGCAGAGAACGTATATCTACCGCGATAGGAATCTTAGACTCTTTACATCTCTCCGCTTATTCGTTCTAACCATCTCCTAATTTATAACATAGCTAGCGAGACAGATCCGACAATCGCTAATAATAGAGTTTGTATTCCGAGTTTTAAATAACGCTTCGACCGGCTCCTAGACCCTAGCCAGTCCGACCGCGTTAGTAATCGATTAGGACGACGCGTCTAATACCGAGCAACGCGTCTAAGAAGCCATCTCGACATTTATCTATCTACTAATATACCAAGCACTTATCTATAAAGAGTATAGATACGCTATAGATGCTATTAGTGGCCATCTCTAGAGATCCTATAAGGACATTAAAGGCAGAATTAAGACAGCCGTCGTATAACACTTTATCGGTTACGATCTTATATAGGTAGATAACATCATACTTCCTAAGGCCGGACGAGTAGCAATCGATTGTCTCGACGCTACGATTATAGGCTATAGCTACGAGTATAAGATCTAGTAGGAGGGTGACAGCATAAGCGACGAGTCTAAGACGGCTATCGAACCTAGCGTCTACGGCCACATCTCCACTAACGGAAAGAAGATCGTAGAGCATTGTCGTAAAGCTTATAACTAGAAGTCTACGGCCGAGGACCGACAGTGTTAGAGAGAAGTATACGTCTAATCTTTCTTAAAGGTTAACGGATACTAGAGATAGTTCGCCGTTAAGACACTCGACGAGGCTAAGAGAGAAGTAGTAAGCATAAGATAATCGCTCCTACGAGCTAAGTAGATTTAATTCGACGGCATTAAAGACGATTTCTAGAAGCTAAAAGAGAAATGGTAGAAAGAGTAGGAGATACTATTAGATAAGGTAGAGAAATGTAAGAACACCGGATGGTAGAATAAGATAAGATGGAGAGAGCATCTTAAGAATTACAATCTTATCTATCTCTCCTACGCTAGTCGGTTACCCGAGAAGGATAAAGAAGCATTACTTAGGGTAGTAGAGGTTATCGAGAAGATAGTTGAAAGAGGTGTCTTAGGACTAAGCTCGATGCCGGATAGGCTACGTCGTTAGCTACGGAGTGCCGCCATAAGCGAGGCCGATAAGAGACCGCTAGCCCGGCTATAGAACCCCGAGAGTTAGTAACGGTACGTCGGGTACTAGAAGCGAATGATTTGCTACTATCTACGAGTATGGTGTACTCGTAATGAGTTAAGCGGTAACGGTAGTGACGACGACGACATTAGAAGCAATACTAGCGACGCTAGAAGCGACACTAGTAATATAGGAAGCGATAGCGATAATGTAAATAGTAACGCCGACACCGATACCGACACTAACGACGACCGTAACGATAGGGACGAGAACCATACCGACAATACTAACGTAGATCCGTAAGACGATTAAGGCAGATAGTAACGGCAAGTATAAGATTAGATGTACGATACGTAGAGGCTCTTCCTATAGAATAACTAACTCGAAAGAGCGTTAGAGGAGGTATAGAGATTGATTATTCTCGAGGGAGACATATTATCTGTCGAGGATAAATAGATCCTAGCCATAGTCGAGCTTTATAAAGTGTTACTATTTAGAAAAGTGTGGAATAACCGCTTCGACAGCGCTATAATCCACTTCATAGCGGTAATAGGCATCGACGAGACTAACGCTCGGCTACGTGACGGTAACGACTACTTATATATGATCGCCGGGCTCGTATACGTGTCGAGGATCGTAACCGCCGAAGCTCTACTCCCGTTACTCGACCGCGAAAACTAAGGAGAGGCCGAATTCGAGGCTTTTCTCGAGTAGTAGAAGTAGTTTCTAGCCGACGGATTAATAAGCGTAATGGCAGATATGTTAAGCTTGCTAGCATACGGCAAAACGATTATAAAGAACTTCTACGCCTAGGGGAAACTGTACTAGACTTACGACGGAGTAGGCGTCGTTCTTAGTAGCATCGAGTTTATAGTCTATAAGTTTAAGCATATAGCACGCTCCGCTCTAGACGACTACGAGGACTACATATAGAGAAATCTTATATGGGCAGGCCGTAAGGAGGACCACTTCGTATTAGATCTCGATAGCATTACCGACGACATAACGGTTAAGAAGAGAGGCTAGTACTTCGGTACCGATCCGAACTAGGATCTCGAAGCATAAGGTCTCGACTAGATGTTAAAGAGGATACTAGGCTCGAACTACGGAAAGAAGATGCGTAGAGGTGACTAGTAGCAGTCGAGACTAGTAGCTAACTATCTTCGAAGGGTAGATAAGTTTAGGGAGTTATTTCTATTCTACGTGTACGTCTTAAGCGGTTAGCCTACTAGAGGAACCGAGATTACTAGTCTACGCTTCTATAACGGAGTGGCTAACCACCGTAACGTCTTCGTCTTAGACGGTAGAGTAATGACGGTGACGAGCTACTATAAGTCACTAGCGATGCTCGACATGCCTAAGATAGTGCCGCGCTTCTTACCGTAGAGACTAGGCTAGATTGCGGTCATCTATCTTACCTACGTACGGGTGTTCGCCGAGTTACTCTCGGTTCGAGTACAGTACGGTTAAGGATGGAGTAACTACATCTAGGCTAATTCGTACGGCCTATAGGAGACGTAGAAGCTTACCGACACGATAAAACGAGAGACGGCTAAGCGACTAGAGGCTAAACTGCACACCTAGAACTATAGACACGCTACCGTCTTTCTAGGTAGGAGATTCGTCGGACTAAGGTTCGCTAAAGGCTACCGAGAGGAGGCCGAAGATCTAGAGGAGGCCTAAGTAGGAGATAACGACGACGACATCGAGGAGGGCAACGCAATCGAGCTATAGAAAGCCGGCGGGTTCGGCACCGGTGCTAGTAGATACGCCGTTAGGGCGGACATCTTAAAGCATCTTAACTAAGAGTCGATTAACGTTTTCGGTAATCTTAGCGAAGGCTAGTATAAGTTTCTAGAGCTTGACTATAGAGATCCGAAAAGGAAGAGGAAGGCCGAGAGTAGTGACAAAGCCGATAGGATATAAACCGTCGACTTTAAGGGGTTAAGAAAGGAGAGAATGATTAAGAGACTTCCTATAGCAGTAAGGAGAGGTACGGCTACCGTCGCCGCTAGCCTAGTAGTAGATCTCTCGCCGTTCTTATAGTAATCCGAAAGATAGTAGAAGGAGATCGAAGACTTATAGATAAAACTTAAGGCGTAAGAATTTAAGCTAACGAGACTCTAAGAAGAGGAGCTATAGTAGTAAGGACGATAGCAACCTAGGACTCCGATCGTCGGCTTAGGTATCTACTCGAATAACAACGGACTACCGACCCTAATGATAGAGGGAAATAGGCACGACTCTTATAACGAATATGCTAACGACAAGAACGACAGTAACGATGTCATCTATATCTATAATGACGATAATGACCACTACTACCACTACGAATAGGGCTAGTAGCGCGTAGACAATAGTCCGATCGTCGAACGAAGCCGAAGACGGCGCGAGCGGCTATAACGCTATAGACGACCGACAGTATAGGAAAAGGAGAGAGCTATACGTAAAGCACTTAAAAAACTAATGGACGACGACGCGGTAACGATTAGATATAGATCGAAAGTATAAGGAGAAGCGCTCGGGAGAATTATAGACGGTAGGTTTAACGTTCTTACCGTCGTTCTACCGACAGCCGGAGGTAAGACTATACTCTTTACCGCACCCGCTTGTCTAGAAGAAGACGTCGGAGTAACCATCGTAGTGGTCCTATTCTATAAGCTTATCGACGAGACGGTATAAGAAGCATAGAAGACGGTAGGTAACTATAAAGAGTGGAGTTATAGCACGGTCGATCTAGTAGCTCTCGTAGTCGTTAGCGTAGACAAGATGTACGATCACTTCTAGTCGTACGCACGCCAGATGGTAGAGTAGGGCCGACTAAGACGAGTGGTGGTAGACGAGTATCACTTACTAGTAACTTCGTACGGCTAGAGACCGCATCTCGTCGAGCTAGAGAAGCTTAAGTTACTAGGAGTACCGATGGTGATACTAACGGCCACACTCCTAAGGTATATGGAGGTCGAGCTACGACGAAGTCTAGGTATCGGCATCGGAATGATGTCGCTTATATAAGCATATATAGCGCGAGAGAACATTACTTATACCGTTAGATAGGACATTAGTAAAGGTAAGCTAGTCGAAGAGACGGCTAGAGTATACGAAGAGGTCGCCGACGAGCTACGTAGCACTAGGAAAGAGAAGGCCGTCGTCTACTACCGTAGTAAGAAAGACTATGAGGAGATGGCGGAAAAGCTAGGCTACGGCTTCTTCTACGCCGGACACATCGACGGCGAGGAAACGCTAGAGTAGTAGAAGGCGAACGGCGGCTTTATCGTGTCGACGACGGCTCTTAGCACCGGACTTAACTATAAAGCTGTAAAGGCGGTTATCCACTCTAGACTACCGTACGGACTAATCGAGTTCGCCTAAGCATCGGGTAGAGTAGGTAGAGACCCTAACGAGAGAGTGGACTCGATCGTACTACTAGAGCAAGGGTAGGAGGAAGAAGAGTAACGGACGCGGGAGCGTTATAACGAGGCACTCGGACCGGACGGAGTAGCGATAATTAAGTACATTAAGATAGAGGGTTATTAAAGGCTCGTACTAGGAAGGTACTTCGATCCGGTAGACACGATTAAGGACTGTTACGACAGTAGTAGTAGCAACAACGACGACGACGACGACAGCGAGACCGATAGCGACGAGTAGTAGCATTAGTATTAGCATTACGCCCCTCGTAAGGCTCTATACGACAGGTGCGGAGGTAGAATGATCGCTATAGGTATAGAGCTAGTTAGACAGTCCGAAGTCGAAAAGGAGATGGTCGAAGAGGCTCTTAACGAGATGAAACTCGGCTGTCCGATATGTTAGATAAAGTCGGAAGCGAAAGACTTACATCTCGAGCACGGCGGCTAGGAGTGTAAGAGTCGAGAGCTAACGGTAATAGACGAAGCCGACGAAACGACAATTATTAATGTTAACACGTTCCGAAAACAGATTAAGTACGGTAAGGCGAGTAAGGCTTATAGGAAGTGCAGCATTAACTAAAGGATGTATAACACTAGGGAAGACGCCAAACGAAAGTGCTAATAGCCCGGCATAGCGGTACCGGTGTTAATAATAGCAGTCTAAGATCCGATTAGGAGAAACATTATCCGAAAGGCCGGCTTCGAACCAAAGCGAGTAGTAGAGGAAGAGAAGGAGGGGTGGAAGGCTTTCGCGTTATAGTGCGGACAAGCGCGAGATAGGCGGTTATAGGGAGAGATAGTAAGCAATTCGATATAGGTGGTAAAGGAATTTCTAGTGTATAAGAGCGGAGAGAGGATAAGGCAGTTCGATAACGATAGGGAAGACAAGTAGGCCGACGACGACGACCTAGACTCTTTCGTAGACATGGATATAGACGATAACGACTTCATTCTAGTCGATTCTAGGACTACGGACACCGCTATAGTAGGAGTAGTAGCGGCGACATAATAAGTAGATCGACTATAAGACCGATAAGAGGAAGAACTAGAATAGTAACAGCAATAGCAATAGCAACAGTAACAGCAATAGCAACAGCAATAGTAACAGCAACAGTAACAGTAATAGTAACAGCAATAGCAATAGTAGCAAGGATAGGAAGATAATAGTCTAGATGCCTGCGACACCGCTATAGAGAGACTAGAACAAGCTAGAAAAATACCTAGAGTGTCGAATCGTCCGATTTGTATAGAGATTAGTAGTAAAGAAGCGTTTAAAGCGAAGCTGTCGATATATAGAGGATGCTACCCAGTTTACACGGCGCGATTAGGTAGGACAGAACGTGCCCACACGTTATAGAGGGCTTATCCGTTAGTGGAGAAGCTAGAGTTAACGGAGAGGATAGAAGGGATAGAGAAACGACTAGTAGGAATGCAAATAGAAGTAACATCTAGTTGCAAAAAGTGCTAGAGACCGTATATGCTATATAAGCAGTATAGGCAGAGGCTAGGAACAGTAGGGGGAGGCTTAACGGAAAACAGATATATTAAGTAGGACAAAATATAGGGAGCGTAGTATAGAGAAAGAGGAGAGTTTAAAGGAGATTAGCGAGTAAGAGATAATCTTTAAGGCATAGTTTTAGGATTGTTATTTAGTTTAAGGGATAAGGTATAGGATTAGGCGGTTAAAGATAGAGGGTTAGAGGAGGATAATGGCAGCGACAGTATGACAGTGATATTAGAATGGTTAGCGAGTAAGAGTAAGGTAGGGTTAAGGGTAAGGGAAGGATAGGTATAGAGTAGCAAATTATGTAAGCTAGTTTAGGCTTAGGGGTAAAGTAGTGAAGTAGTAAAGTAGTAAAGTAGTAAAGTAGTGAAGTAGTAAAGTAGAAGTAGGGTAGTTAAGACAATGAAAAAGGAGTTAAGATTTAAAAGTAGATCTTATATAGGCGTATCTAGGTAATAAAAAGGGCAAAAGAGACAAGAGTAAACAGAAGGAGGAAGATATGATATGTATAATATGATGAGAAAGAAGTTAGTTAACCTAGTAGGTGTCCTAAAGAATAGAGGTTAAGTGGAAGAGTGAGGGAAAAAGAGAAAGCATAGCTAGCTAACCCTACAGGTGTCCTAGGGGAGGAGAAGAGGGAGAAAAAGTGAGGAGAAGAGACCTAGCTAACCCTATAGGTGTCCTAGGGGAGGAGAAGAGAGAGAAAAAGTAAGGAGAAGAGAGAGAAAAAGTGAGGAGAAGAGAGAGAAAAAGTGAGGAGAAGAGACCCGCCTAACCCGTAGGGTGTCCTAAGGGAAGGAGGAGGGAGAAGAGAGGGCAAAAAAAGTGATAGGAAGGGGCCCGCCCAACCCGTAGGGCGTCCTAAGGAAAGAGGAGGAGGGAGAGAGAAGAAGTAATAAGAAGAGAGCCAGGTAACCCGTAGGGTGTCCTAAAGGAAGAAAAGAGAAGAGAGTAAAGATGGAGAGAGGCCCAGGCAAGCCGTAGGGTGTCCCGAAAGAAAAGTAGAAGAGAGAGAAAAGATAATGAGAGTCCCACCTAATCCGTAGGGTGTCCTAAGGAAAGAGAAGGGGGGGAGAGAAAAATTGATAAGAAGAGACCCGGCCAACCCGTAGGGTATCCTAAGGGAAGGAGAGGTTATTTTTTTTTAAATTTTTAAGGACAGATGCCAAAATGGTAAGGCCCCAAGAAAGAAAAGAGGCGGAAAAGAGTAGAGAGAGATAAGGCAAGAAAGAAGGCCTAGGCCCAAGGTCCCGTACCGAGCAGAGATTAAAGAGGGGGTCGTAGTTAGGAAGTTAAGGCGTGTAGGGATTAACCCGAGCGCGAAGCGCAAAGGAGAAGGCCCCGCGCCAAGCGGAGAGTTAAAGGGGGGACGAGGTTACAGGTTATAGGTTACAGGTCACGAAGTTAAGCCGTGTAGGTGTCAACCCGAGCGGTGAGCGCAAAGGAAGAGGCCCCGCGCCGAGCGGTGAGTAAAAGAAAGGACGCGGTAGGTAAGCCGTAGGGCATTTAAAGAGGAAAAGAAATGGTAAGAGAAGGGAAGGAAGAAGCCGGC